GAGAAAAGACTTACCTTACTAAAAGTCGTGACTTCTACTGGCCCCGCCAGTCTGAGTTTGTGTGCATATACATTCGCGCTTACGGAGTTTGTCAACGGGTGAAGCCTAGTCCTTCATCCAGTGGACCCTTGCAGCCTCTTTGATTCCGGCAGAGTGCTGGCAGTCCGTATCGATGTACTTCGTCTTTAAGTTTCCCAAAGACGCTCACAAGAATACTGGTGATTCTTGTGCTCGTTGATCGGTTCTGCGAGATGGCTATCGTGTTGCTGTACCGGAGTCAATAACAGCCCATGGCTGCGCTTGTGACTTTATTGATACTATCTTCCGACTTCACGGGTTACCCCGTGAACTCGTGTCTGATAGAGACCCCGCTTCACAGCGGAGTTCTGGCAATCCGTGTTCCGTTCACTTAGGACGCGTTTGAAGACGTCAACTTCTAAACATCCAGAACAGATTGTCAGACGGAACGCGTCAACCGCGTCCTCAAAGAATTAAATTCGAGAATATGTCCACTCTTTTACGAGGTGGATTGAGTTCTTGCCGATGGCGAAATTCGACATCATCAACTCGGTGCATGTGTCGACAACGCATACGCCATTTTTCGTGAATTGACTTCGCCATACGCTTTAACCCGCCTTCTTAGAGTTTGAATCTAGTTTTAAGGAGGAGGAGGACTCGCTCGAACGAAACCGATCTGGTTCTTGCTCATCACACGTAGACGATGGTGTCGAAGTGATGGATGCCAATGTCGATCACATCGACATCGGTACTGATGATGATGACGATGCTAGAAATTCAGCATCTTCAACGACTGCTGCAGTGAGGACGATGACGCCCTCACTGGTGAAGACAACGTTCTTTTAGCAGTGCACAAGAAGTGCACTGATGTTAACAACGATGAATCAGCAGAGGAATTTCCGCTGACTCGCGAAGCGGTTGTCCGCTTCGTTCAAGACTCCATTGCAAATGCAGTTGATAAACGAAAAAAGAAACAAAGACAAACATGGAAGAGCAAATGTTCTTTTATTTGATAAAGGAGACTTAGTTTTATTGTCAAAAGTAAATCTACGAAAACACAAAGTGAAAAATGTGGGCAGAGGTAATTACGGCCCAAGCATATCGGTCCATTTCGTGTGTTGCGCCGCATGGGCAACGCAAACACGATTGAACTGCCTTGTAGGATGCGTATGCATCCTAAGTTTTACGTTGGACGTCTCCGCCCGTACAATCAGTACGAGTCCGTTTCGAGAGGCGAAGACACCTCCGCGGACAAGGACCGAGACCACCTTCGAGTGGTCCCAATCCAACGAGCCAGTCTGGTAGACTAGCGAAGAGACCTGCTCACGCAGTTGAGTGATGTCCTGACGAGGTGCTGTCAGCTCGTCACGAAGAGAACGAATTGAACTTTCGTTGTCAAGTTGCGCAAACGCAACACAGCACAATCATTAGAACGATCGTGCGCTGAGTAATTGTAATTATCGTTTACCAGGTTATAAATCTCATAACGCCGAGTCCGTTCATGAGACAGGTCATCTTGTAACTGTTCCGTTACACCATTCAGTTATTGAACATCAAGTTGATCTGACCCTCAAGCCGGATCAGGTGTTCCCGCCGCCACCACATTCTCTGGTGGATTCTGGCGGTGGTCAACGCTTTCCGGTGGAGCGTATTTTGAACCACCGCAACCTGGAGTGCATCCGGACGAATTTTTTTTACCTCGTCCGCTGGCGTGGCTATTCACCGGTCTGGGACAGCTGGGAGCCTCGTGCCCAGCTGGTAGTTGATGTCCTTGGTCTCGTCGAGCAATATGACGAGACCCACCCGCTGCGCTTGAAGAAAGGCCATCGAAAAATGACCTCCCCTACAGTGAGTGCAGGGAATGCAAATTGTCAATCCCTTCGGTCATCTCAGAAGAGATGCGCGCCCTCCAGTAGGGATCATTAGGGAGTAAGGCCTCCCTAGGGGCACGATTCGAGTTTTCCAGGCAATTTGCACACGAATCACCTCACGAGAGACAGGTTAATCCTGCCTCTTTTGAAAGTCGATGCAACTTGCATCTTACCCCGACTGGGTCACGCTTCTTAAACCTGATGCGAGCTGCATCAAGCCAGGCCTCATGGACAATACACTCGATGTTTTGGATGAAGGCATGCCATTCTTGCACCAAGGCCTTACCGTCTCTACCACGGTTGCCATTGTACCAATGATGTTAAAAAACGCATCGGTGAAGAACTCTTTCTCAGAACGAATAATTTCCGTGCTGGAATTAGGAGGACTGATCCTCCTGCAGTCGATCAACAGGATTCGATCCTGATCGGTGGTCATGCTGGCCACTCGATCTAACTCTTTGGATGACGGCATGCAAGGAGACTCCACTTGAGGAGCGTGGCGCACGACATTTCTGTCCCTGGCCTTTTGAGTGATGTCAGCACGAGCAGTGACACCAGTGGCAGCTCGATCCCTCGAGCTACTTCTCTCGTGGTGATGCATAGGGGCATCGCCACTATCACCATGCGGCCTATCGTCGGATGGAATTGCGTGAGGCGAGGATTCGTCAGACGAATCGCTCGGTCCGAAGATCTCGGACATGATGCCGCCACGTTCCCCAGAGCCAGTCAACCTGGATATTGCAGTGTCCGCCCCGGATGATCAGGAGGCGTAGGGTGTCGCCTTCGAGTTGGATGCATCATCCGACCCACCAGTATAGATGAGCTCTATTTTAGTCTCATCTACATTGTGAATTGCAATACCCGCTGCAGACGCAGCGGATGTATCTGTCGAATGTGACTATTCACAGCAGACACCGCCTGTTGCTGAATTGCAACATCAGTCGAAGTATAACCTGCTGCTGAAGCAAGAGACGATATGTCTTCGGCTGCATGCATGCGTGCAACTGCCTTTCTTGCTGCTTTGGCAGCACATCGCATGTACTTTGAAACCATGCGATGAATTGGCCAAATGAGTTAGAATCTGACTAACAAGTGCCCCCTTACTAGAGTTTTCCAACGGTGGTCACCCTGTGACAATCAGCTAAATTTAACTAATGGGTGATTGATGGTTAGGGGGTTGATGTAACGGGGTAGCCCGTTACATGGTATTGACATTAAACGGTATGAAAAGGGAGATTGTCTAGCATGACAATGTCATACCAATATTTTCCGAGATGGACAATGTTGAAGGAGTATTATCCCCTTTTAGGATAAAATTCATGTGCTGCTTAAAGATTGGTCGATAAAAGACATATCAACCAAGGTAATCACCAATCCTGCTAGACGCCCGTAATGAGTGGTTATCAGGTTGCCGTCATACGATAGTGTAGTTTAACATAGTTAGATAAAGACTAAAGTTATATTGATAGCTTAACTGAATTAAGTACAGTTATCTTTTTACCCGTTACTCAAACTAGCTGTTTCAGTAGATATTCTTCCTCTGCACGTACTAGTGTACGTGAAGTTTTGTGGCACCCCCGACAAAGAGTGCCCCGTTACAGTCTGACTCTTCTTCGTGAGTTTGCATAGCTTCAAATCGATTCCGGCTCATTCGATCGCGATCGAATTCTTGAAGTAAACTTTCACAATTTAGATCTGCTCGTCCATCCATGAAGGATCGCTATATCCATTCCATTGTAAAAAAATTGACGTTGTACTCGCCCGTAGCCTTTTTTTTACCTGATCGCACATCATCGATTTTATTCACCTCGAATATGTCGTCATCCAAATCACCTTCTCAACTATCTTTCGGTAGGGGGCTTCATCGAAATCAACTCGATCAGACTCGTCTACATTCACCCGACTTTTGGGTCGTTCTGGGAGCATCTTCTCTGCCTTCAGTTCGGATGCATGATCGACCGGGAACAACCAATAGGGTGTGCCTGCGATCGTCGATTCCACTGCATTGTCTCCACATTTTTCAAGCACTAGGAACGGTCCGTGCCCAAATGATCTAACCTCTGAGCATATCAATCTTTAACGCGATTCAGATACAATTATACTTGTGATCCCTGGTCGGTGTCCAACAGATCGTGGTCTTCGTTATGACAATCCGCTTGGTCTTGAACTACGAATTTCAGGCGATTTTCACGACCGCTCTCGCTTATTGACATTAGCGTTGTATATTTACCTTCATCTTCTGGGGTCGCGATCGCGAAGTTTAACACCTCCTAGCGGCAAAGTCGATTTCAACGTCGATCGAGGATCCCAATCATAGATCAAATAGAACGGCGTTTCCCCGCGGACTCGATCTTGCGCGGTATTCTTCGCGTAGGTCAATCGTTCAGCGTATTCGTCTAGTTCTCTCTGGTTTTTGTCAATGTCTTGTTTGTTAAGACAGGGAGTTCCTCGGTTCAGTAGCTGAGAAGCTTTGTCTCTTAAACACACAATTCTTGCAGCAAATATCCGAAAAAAGTGGGCGATCGACGCCTAGGACGGGTCTTGACGATTTACAATATGGCAAGGATGACCCGAACAATGATATCCATGTCGGAGGCAATACATGGGCAGATTGAAGTGTCGAATACTGGAAGCCGCGTTGGTCCGTATTGACAAAATCGAGGTCATCCTAATTGTGTGGCTTTTGTGCAAAGTTCACACAGGGCGAGGGAAATAAGGGCGGGAAAGTAAATAGCTTCCAGATTTTTGGCTTAGATTACATCAATCAAGGGCGAGCAGCTTGCTTCTCTATCTGAAAAATCATGGAAGACATGCTGATCGCCGTTCCAAATTGAGCAAAATCGGACATAAATCTAGGATCTTGTAACTCCTCCCAAAAGTTCGTATCGCGCCAGCTCAAAAATAGTCTCACCTGCCAACTCGCTAAACCGCAGCCCACCTCCGAAACGAGCCCAAACCCGCCGCAGAGTTCCAGACCCGTTCTCCCAACTGCCAATACCGTCCAATCACCACCAACCTCACTGTGGCCGCCACTTCCCGTTCACCTGCGCGCGCGTGTCATCGCTCCATTCCTTCTCCCTCTCTCCCTCCTCCTAGCGTCAGTCTCTCAACATGGACATCTCCGCCGCCTTGATAAACACCCAAAGCCCCGGTACGTCTGCCTTCTCCCTCGTCTCGCTTTCTGCTATCGTATCTTCTCTCTAACAATCTATCTATCTCTCTGTCTATCTGGCTCTCTGTCCATCTTCTCTTGTTTTGTGTGTGGTAATCAGACGTGACGCTACGCAAGCAGGCAGAAGAGTTCCTGAACAATGCGCTGCAGCAGCAGATGGGACAGCTCATGGTGACGCTCGTCCAGGCGCTGGCGGCCGAGGACTTTGCCGTCGTGGGTCGCCAGGCTGCCGGTCTCTACCTCAAGAACGTGCTGGACGCCAAGGACGACGCGCTGCAGCAGCAGAAAATCAATGCATGGATGGCCATTGACCCGGCTCTGCGCACGCTGATCAAAGATGGATCGCTTGGTGTGTTGCAGTCGAGCGACCCCGTGGCACGCCACACGAGCGCACAGCTAGTGGCCAAGATTGGTAGCATCGAGCTGCCTGCCAAGCAGTGGCCGACGCTGCTCGAGTCGTTACTGCAGAACGTGACGAACAGCAGCGAGGGTTGCATCCACGCCACGCTCGAGTGTCTCGGCTACTTGTGCGACGAGCTGGAAGAAAATACCATCGACGAGCAGGATACTAACCGAATCCTTACGGCTATTGTGGATGGCATTCGTGCCGATCGACCGCCGGCTATTCGCCTTGCAGCGGTCACGGCCTTGCGGAACAGTCTGGAGTTCGTGAGTGAGAACTTCAAGCGGAAGCAAGAGCGCGATCACCTGATGCAGAAAATCTGCGAAGCCACGCAGTCTTCGGATTTGCGCACCCGTGTGGTAGCCTACGAGTGCATTGCTGCCATTGCGACAATGTATTACGAATACCTGGCAGAGTACATGGAGACTCTGTGCAAGCTGACGTTCAACGCTATTACGAGCGACCAGGACGAAGTGGGCCTGCAGTCGCTTGAATTTTGGTCATCTATGTGCGATGTGGAACTCGACTTGATTGAGGAAATGAACTATGCAGAGCTTGAGGGCCGCACCGATTTTATTCCCTGCAACTATTATGTGCAGACAGTGCTAAACACGCTCATCCCTCTGCTGACCGAAACGTTGAAGAAGCAGGAGGATGATCAGGATGAAGACTCGTGGAATCTCTCAATGGCTGCCGCGACGTGCCTTGCACTGGTGGCCCAGGTGGTTGGTGACGCTTGTGTGGACCTTACCATGACGTTTATTACGCAGAATATCGAGAGTAACGAATGGCGGCCGAAGGAGGCCGCTATCATGGCTTTTGGCTCGATTTTGGACGGCCCCGAATCGGCCAAAATTGCTCCGCTTGTGCGTCAGGCGCTCGGCTTCCTGATGAGCTGCATGAAGTTTGACAACATCTTGGTTCGCGATACGACGGCCTGGACGCTTGGCCGTATCTGCGAGCTTCACTACCGATGCATTAGTGGCGAGATGTTGCCTGGACTGATGCAGCTCCTGCTCGAAGGGTTGGATCAGGAGCCTCGTGTGTCGCACAACGTCTGTTACGCCATCCACAATATCGTGAAGGCCTTTGAGGAGTCGGTGGAAGCTGCGCACATGCTGACCCCGTACTTCAATACGCTGTTCGACAAGCTGCTCGAGACGAGCGACCGCCCGAATGCTACGGAGAGCAACTTGCGTGGATCAGCGTACGAAGCCCTGAACGTGTTGGTGCAAGCTGGTGCTGATGCAGTGAACCAGCACATTATGTTGCGTCTCCCTGTGATACTAGAGCGCCTGGAACAGAGCATTAAATCACTGATTGAGAACCCAGATCGCCTTCAGGACGATCAGGCTGGTCTGCAGGCATTGCTGTGCGGTGTTCTGATTGCTGCCATCCAGAAGCTGAGTACTGATATTGAGCCGTTGGCAGACCGCATCATGCAGGCACTTCTACAAGTGTTCTCCACGCGAAATGCTGCTGCTGCAGAAGAAGCTTTTATGGCCGCGGGTGCTTTGGCCAACGTTGTCGGTCCCAAGTTTGAAGTGTACATGCAGTACTTTGGCCCAGTCGTGCTAATGGGCTTGAAGAATAGCGAGGAGTACATGGTTTGTAGTGTCGCGGTGGGTGTCGTGGGTGACCTTTGCCGTGCTTTGGAGAGCAAGATCTTGCCGATGTGTGACGAGATTGTGGCTACTCTTATTGAGATTCTAAACAACCCCGTTCTTGACCGCTCGGTGAAGCCACCGGTATTGTCCTGCTTTGGGGATATTGCACTCGCTATTGAGGGCGATTATGAGCGCTATGTGGCGTCTTCACTTCAGATGATTCTGCAAGCTGCAGACGCGTGCGGATCAATTGCGACCGACGACGAAGAAGTGGTGGAGTACATGAATCTGCTGCGCGAGAGTGTGCTAGAAGCGCTAACAGGTATTGTACAAGGCCTGGGAGCTGCCAACAAGGCGACTATATTGGTAGAGTGCGCACCACAGATCGGCGCTTTCCTGGCTTCGCTGGCGAACGACCTCGCAACGCGTTCGGACGCTGTTACGACTGGTGCCGTGGGTCTGATTGGGTACGTGAACGTCTTCGAGTGCATGTCAACGAGAATAGCTGTGTAATGATGATGTGTGTGTTTCGAATGCAAAGTGATATTGGCCAGGCGATGGGCAAGGCGGTGGAGACGGTGCTCCACCAGCAGTTTGTGGTCCAGCTAGTAAGCGAGTGCGCTAACAACGCGCAGAACCCCCAGGCACAGCAGTTGGCGGCGTGGACGCAGAAAGTGATGATGGACTTGCAGTCGAACTAAGCACGGGTTGACTCGGACTTTTGATTCCATTCTGCTCGTGTTTGCCTTCAGCAAACACTGATGCGTTGAGTCAATGGGGTTAAATTGCGTGTGAATTGATACTCTGTCTGCGATATGGGCCAACTTAGTCGGCACGAATTTGACTTCGCCCCTGCTTCTGGTTGCTAGTTGCCTTTTGCAATCAGCAATCTGAGCGGGTGGATGGGTCATGCTGGCCGGTCAGATGACGTTGTACACGATGGCAGTTCTGCATGTGAGCAAGGCTGGCAGTATTTATCGGGAGTGTCCAGATGGTTCGTTTGCTGCGCCAGTGCAGTGTATCGCTGGCAGACACAGAGCGTCGAGTGTTTATATCGTGCCCGCGTGCTTCTTTTCCCCAACTGGGAAGATAGGTGCTAAGGCGCATGTGGACCTGGCTGCTCGTGTCTGGAGTCAGTAGGAAGTTGAAAGATGTCGCGTTCATAGAGAAGACGAGAGAATGGGTTAATTAATTGTACGACGCATCCGACCCCGCTCGGCTGTTTCTCTATTTGTTTCTCGTCGTCGTAATTGCATCGAGTAAACCGGTACGCTTACGCTATGAGCAATGAGGTCAACAAATACGTTACCTGTCTAATGTTTTACCAGGGGTGTTTCCTACAGAAGCTGCTCGAGATCCACGGGCTTGAACACACCTTTCAGTGTTTCCAAAAACACTACGCCTTGCTCGATGATTATCTGGTGCTTTCCAAATGTATAAAGTTGCTGACCATCGTGGAAACCCTTCGGCACGAAGGTGACGTTGTGGGTGATTGCGAGATTTTCGATAACGTCTCGCAAACTGACGCTGCGGGATGCGCGTTGCGGCGAATGTTTGACTTCTCGAGCCGGCGGTACCTCATCCCGTACCAACGTCAATGCATCTTGATAGCTTGCGGCAGCGAACTTGTTTAATTCGGGAAGTTGTGGGCGACTCTCGTTTGGTACGCCAACTGTTTCAGCAGCTACGAGCAGCAGCACGAGCGCTCCTTGAAAGTGCACCCGCAACCTTTCGTTCGTTGCTAAGCCCTTCTGCTCAAAAAAAAGCTTCCAACCGCGATACCATGTGTCCAGCTCAGTCAAATTTGGCGATCCAGCAACCCACGTCCGCAATGCCTTCAGCCACTTCGGAAAGAACTCGCCCTCCATCAACGCAATGAACTGACGGTCGGATAGATGGTCTTTCCATGCCAACACCCACGTCAGAGCGACCAACGATTGGTTGTCTGGCTTGATTTCGAACTCGCGATGTAAGCAACGAATCAGTTTCCGGACAATATACCGGTGAGTAAACTTTCCATAATCATGTTCACCCCAAAGCTCTCTCCACGGAGACAAGACAGAAAGAATCGACAAATCCGACGGATGCCACTGATTCATTGCGTTTGCGAGAGCTGACCGAATATCAGGGTACAAAGACTCCATTGCAGTGCCAAGATAAGGTAGCCAAGGAAGCAACCACTCGTGAATTGGTATCGTGTCCAAGCGAGGATCCCAGCAATGACACTCTTTCCTCAGCCGAGAGTGCACCAACTGCAGCAAAAAGGCATCTTCGAATTCACCTGAAAGGTGTGGTCTTATTTTCAAGAACACGTCAACGCAAGCGGCTGGAGCCGATTTGGCTTGCCACTCCACATTCACGCACTGCGCTACTGCTGGCCACAACGTTTCCTCAAGGACAAAATTATACAAATCATCACCCTCTGCCATCGTTTTCTCGCGGATGACGGGGAGTACACTAGCTGACTTGGCAGCGTCGGTTGTAGCCCTGCTGGGCAGCTCGGTCAAGAAGGTTTGGATCATGCGGAGCTCCAAGACGACACGATCAATCGACGTTCGCTCAAGGAGATTGGAATCTGTGAGTAAGTCTCGAAGCGGAGGCACACATAGAGATGGGACGAGCTGCTGCAACTTATGTGCATCAAATTCCAGCGGGAAATTCCGACGAATCTCGCGCAAATGTGACAACAAACGCTCCACCGATCGCGAATCCAAGGCCTGCTCGTGTAATGCATCCAGTACTTTCAATCGGTCAGTAAGAGTTTGCGTGTGTTGCAATCGAATGTCATCCACATCCCGCTGCGCTTTGATCATCTTCAACTCCTTCTTCATCGTAACAACACTTTCCATGTTGCCATCAATCTTTTGACTCAGGTCGACGATCTTGCATTGTGCCAGATTCACCACCATACGCGTATTGTACAGCAACTCATCGCCTAACTTTGGTTTTGCTGCTTTCATCCGCTGAGGATCTATGTCAAAGGCAGCCGTCACATCGGACAGCACACGCACGGACGGTCCCCTCATATCCAGCACGACTTCACCACTTTTCTGTTTCTTCATGATCTGAGCTTCCAGCATTAAGTCCGCCGCTCGTTTGTGTTTCTTTCTTTTCTGACCAGCCACAACCTTCCTCTTCCTCCACAGCGCATCAGTCTCCACACCACCACGAGCTTCTTCCTCTGCCTGCTCTTCCACATTTTCTCCTTTCAGCTCCTTCTGTATCTTTTTGTTCTGGTTGAGGTTACTGGCCTCCACAAAGTCTCCGTAGCCCATGCCCATTTGTGCAGGACGCTTTTTAACCTCAATAGTGGCTGACACACCGTCCTCTTTCTTGCCCAAACGCCCCTTGAAGCCCATCTTAGCCATCATCTTTGCTCCAAAACCTGTTGTGTGTTTTTCCCATGCAAAAGTCTTCGACTTGGTCACATGAGCCGCTGGAGCTCGAGCTGAAGCTGCTCTATCCTTCGTCTTGTTCACCTGAACACCCATTCCAGACCCTGCCGTCGATACCGTACCAGGAACAGATTCAAAGACTACATCCAATGATAAATCAATCCCGTATCCCAGTCCAGAGCCTCGTAAAGCCTCGGTCGCGTCTTGGCTGGAGGCTGTCGAGTCCGTTTCTTTTTGACGTCTCCTATCTGCATCTTGAGGCGGAAGTTGATCACAATTGCGGTCGTCAATACAAGAAGATTCATTGGTGTTTACTGGTAATGCATCTGCCGCGTCCTCGTGCGCCTCCTTGCGGAACATGCGCGCAAAGTCGGCGTTGCTCAAGCCTTTCGACGACGCCATGGACACCGGGAACTGCCAACTTGTGTACAGATAGTGTAGCTGATGTGTCGGAACCCAAATGTCATGAACCAACCTCGAAAGTTGGGATGAGTGAGAGTTGAAAACCTCAACTCTTTTCGAATAAATATCGCTGTAGCTAAACGCACTTTTCTCTATAGCAGCTCGACGAGTGACGATGCAATAGTCCGGCACGAGTCCACGTCTCATTTCAAAATACTTTACTTTACGTCTTGTATCACAGTGTCTTGATCTACGTCTCATTTACAAAATTGCGTCGTCACTCGTAAGGCCAGTATCGTAGTGCTTATGCCCACAGCAAGCTCAAGCTCTGGCATTCAGTGCGTGGCAGACTTTATTATTTGCTCCGCTATTCAACATTGTAGGTGGTGCCATTTTCCGGGGCGAATTGTTAAACTGTTCAGGACAGAATCCTTAGCACTTTAGAAGTGGGTCAGCTTCCGCTCGCCTCAACAGCATCGTCTTCACCTGAGGTTCGCATTGTATCACAGAGCGTATCCCTTGCTACATGTATGAGATTTTTGGATCCTTCTTCTTCGTCCAGCACGTCCGACCCGCTGCATCTTTTGATCGGAAGCTTTCATCGGTGGCACAGACGGGTCCCGGATAATCCGCATGAAAGCCGTTCGAGCTGACGGGTCGGGTAAAGTGAGAGTTCTACGTCAAAGACGATCGAAAACTAAAAAAGCAACGATCTCTACTCCATTGCTTGAGCGCTACAGCAAAAGCAGTGCGTTGAGAGCGTGGTATTGCTAGTTTGACGGCTACTCTCTGCGTTGACCAGATGGTTGGCGTACTTTTACATAAAGACCCGTTATCGATTTCTTGGTTGTGTCTCGAGTAAAGCCATTGCTAAGCACAATGTGTAATCGAGTACTACAGCTGGCAGCTACAAATAACGATACCAGCACCTCAGTTGACCAGTTTTCCATTTCATCGCTCGCCTCGGTCGGTAGTTCTATCGTGCAGCTGCTTCTGTCAGTGAAGATAGAAAGACACAAGAATGTGTCATTGCACTCAGTGCCGTAAGCCAAATGTGAATGCAACCAGTGAAAACACACACAAGACAAACGCAAAAAGTATCGATTAAAGCATACTAAAAAAACGTTTATCCATAGAGTCGACCGAGTTGGGACCGCACCTCTGCGTCATATATCGTTGGCATGATCCCAACTCCACCTACCACATTGTCACAAGCAACGATGATTCTTGACACGATCCAGCTCCAACTTTCTTCTGTCAGATATCTTCAACTCCCATGCCGTCAGAACAACAAGCGAGTCTCCCAATTTCCAGGCACCCATCACGCGCTAGACGTTCCCGCCTTCGTGCTTTTATTGCCGCAGGCTCTTCCCTCCAGACTTTGCCTTACTTTCGTCTTCACGGTCTGCTCCAAACTCCTTACCGTAAATCCTCTTGTACTCATCCAAAACGTTCTCTCTAGGTCCTTGGCACTTTGCAACATCCATGTAGCACTGGTTCGAGTATTCATTGCCTTTTTCGTCCGTCACGGGTGAGTACACATCAGGGCACAAGACGTTAGGACACTTCACCTGAGGAGGGTCTTCATCACGTCCGTCAGCCTTCGATGCAGCATCGTCCTCTGACGTCTCGTCGTTTCCGACGGACTTGTTCCCATCATCATCACGCGAGGCACCGGATTGCTTGCCATAGAGTTTCTCGAGCTTTTCGACGACATCAACCACCTTCTCCTTTGCCTTGCACTTGGCCACCCGCATCATGCAATCGTTGGGATAGGACGTCCCGGACTCATCGGTGACTAGGTTGTACACCTGAGGGCACACATCGGGACAGTCTGCAGGGACACTCTCGTTGGCAGGTCCTTCGCCAGCAGTCGAATCGGTGCCACGACCGCCAACCTCCAGCGTGTCTGGAGAGTCATCACTTTCTTCAGTAGTACCGTCGTGCTTCGGTGCAGACTTGCTGGATAGATTATCCGCCGCGGCCAAATTGCCTGCATGGACAGTGGCAATGGCGGTGGCCGCCAGAACGAGGACGATAGACAACTTCATCTTGAAATGGAGCTGTGGTGGGTAATCGTATTTTTTGCAACTGAACAGTTTTGACTGAAGCAATGACCGTAAAATCAAAAAAGCTGGACAAGCGTACGAAATGCAATTCTGCCGAGATAGCTGGGAGAGAGCCGGTGAACAGATGAGAGGGGCCAAGATTTTTCAAGTGGTGGGATAGTGAGCACAATAGCCACTTGTCAAGCAGGTGTCCGAAACCTGCCCATGTGTCTACGACGATCGTGCAACTTGTTTTTCTTGATGTTAGACGCGATAATGACTACGGTAGAATACAATTTGGCGATGTCGTTTGTCAACCTTATCGGTAGTCGACGTGGCCATATGTTTTCCCGGCAATTTCGATCCAACTTTACAGCACCGCCTTTATTCCAGATTACCGACTTGAGTCCCGAGTACTTGCCCCATTTTTCTCGACAAGGAACGCAAGCCCGAGCACCGCCATTCGGGTGTTTGTGGCAAATGCGCAGCAGAATTAGGGCGAGCAAATACGTATAGTCAGTCCCCTCAAAGATGGAGTACGGATCCAGGTCTTCGTGCACCCGCAATGTCTGGATGGGCCCTTTATTCTGGAAAGGCACATTCGAGCCAGAAAGCAGGAATTGCTCTGTTGTGGTAGTGTGGGATCGCCTACTTGCTGCATACGATCCAGCATCTGGAAGATACAGATGCATGCCCTTGTTTTTAAATGGTGATCGGAACACTATCTTAGCGTTAGATGCCTGCAAGCTGAGAAGAGCATAATGCGGTGCGCACGTCTGACGCCATTTATCTTGTCGGTATGCGTTCTCATGCAAGTTGTAGTTACTACCCTTCCAGTTCACACCACTGTTACAACACGCGTTGCACTACAACATGCCCGTAAATTAAACTGCTTATTCGCCGCTTACGCTTGAATCCTTTTGGTCGCCGTTCTTTTGTTCCATGTTGATCGGTAAGCTGCGTAGCGTATTTGACGCATACCGCCACCAGTACAAGCTCAGAATGGATGATGCCAGCTAAACAATATGGCAATAGCAATGTATCCGTCCTTCTTGCTGGCTTCCGTAAGCTCTCAAGGACTATGACCAGCTCAGCTCATGTCAAGCGTGACGAGAAGGTAGCTGTTTACGAAGTGGCATCTTTCCAAGTAGTCTTCTGATTCTACCTTCCCTATTTTTCTGTTGACGACACATTTTAGAATGCCTGCCTGTAAGCGCACCGAATGAAGTAAATGGGCCCGATCGATCCAATGTCAGGCCAAGTTTCAGGCAGCATACATCCTGTTGTGGTTGGGTCTGTTTCATTTCGTCATTTGGAAACACTGGCATTGGTAATATACGCTCATCGGGCCTTCAGAAGCATCACATTCTTGGTCTGTACATCATCAACTCATGCCAAAACTAAACTAAAAGATGTGGCGAAGTCGTCCACAAAGTTCGCACGGCAAAGGCTGCATCATAATCAACTGCCAAAAAATACACCCGATTCATGTCGATTTGTGCACTGTGGGCTCAGGTTAGTACCGCGTGCGTTCGCACCGATCTTCAGCTGGAGCATAAGACTTTTCCTATATTTTTCGATTATGTTTGGCCACGCTGGCTGATCTTGGATACACAAGGCAAACTGCTCGTGCTCTGCATCCTCAGACGTGTTTGACTGACTCGAGTATACGTCCATCGTTTACTACGTAAGTCATGGACGTATACAACGTCTCGTTGAGCCTCTCTCGTGCCCACGTTGGGTCTTCTTACCAACGACGGCCTCCCATATCACCGCTACGGCGATCATCCCAACGCGAGCTCTGACGAGGACGACCGCCACTGCCTGAGTAAGGCGCGCCCGGACGTTGAGCGAATGGCCCACTCTTGATGTCGTTGCGTTGGTATGAACCTGGGCGGGAGGATTTCGACGATGCAACAACTAACGCCTTCATCTTGAAAAACTGTAGCGCCTGAGACAGCGTCGGCAAGATGGACGACTCAATACGACCAAAGAACCGATAGCCTCCTGACTTTACCTCCAAGTGACAACTGCGAGGCGTTTCACGCGCAATGTACGAGATCGAGAAGCAGCCCGGGAACTTGGTGTATACATGGAGAGCGTACGGAATCCGCGACGGGTACTCTTTCTTCTGCTTAATCAGATCCTCCTCAACACTTTCCTTCGAAGCGCTATTGTAGTACTTGTAACGAACCACATCATCCACCAAACAGTTCATAGGGTCCACGAAACGAGCAATCAGCTCGTCGATGTTCTCGTACTTCTCTTCCTTGATAATCAGCGTCTGGCCAATACGAGCTTCGGATGGTTTGTCTCGTTCTTGAATATCAAAGTGACGATACACACCATCCAGCATCTTCCAAGTTAGCGTAAGGTGGTCCGAGCCAAAGGTGCTAGGGCGAAGAACCACTTCTCCGACGGGTTGTTCGCGCAGATACTGCACAGCAGCTTGGCAGTTTATGTTACGGAACAATGGGTGCGCGATCTGTCGCTTTTTACGTCGTGACGCATGACTGCCTGGTCCACGAGCAGCTTGAGCGAACGCCATTGCTTTGTCTTCATCAACAGGCGGTTCATTCAGTAGGCGATCAACACGCTCCATGCTATCGCTTTCAACCAGCTTTTCATTTGTGTATCGTGGAAAGCGCTCCGGATAGAAGCACATCGACATGTCGATCAGCGCACGGCGATTACAACCGAGCTTCAGCTCGAAGCGCCCTTCACGGTCCGCTTGAATATCCAGAATCTTGGCATTGACTGTAATACCCTTTGGAAAGCTCTGAGGGCGCACGTCGATCAAATAGTCCGGTAAGTGCTCGCGCTGCAAACTTGAACGCATGCCGCTCTGCAAACGAACGCGAACAAAGTCGTCGCCTGACATATGTAACAGTGAAGCAGGCACGATCATTCCGACACGCAGCGTCTCTCGTGTTTCACCATTGAGCAAGAAAAACAAGTCTTCATCCTTCGGCACCTGATACTTGCCGCGCTTATCAAAGTAAGGGTATCGCAGCTCTCGCTTTATGTACTCAAGCGTCAGCAACTTGGGGCCCTTCTTTTGCAGCTCTAAGCGCCCCGCATATGCAGACAGATCCAGCTCAGACAGCACATCCTGAATTTCTGCATCCCCGAGGCGAGTGTTAGGGGGAGCATTTCGGCTGCGAATCGCAGACGCTGACTGGTACATCGTGTCTTCCACCGCGTAGGAATAATGATTTGGGTCGTACATATCAATGGTCGAGTTATTGTTAGCGTCACCACATATCTTCACCGCCATGTAATAACTTTCCGGATGGATACGCGTATCATCCAGCGGATTCAGAGGAGCTTCACGCAATGCATCACGCTCTCGAATTCGGATGAAACCAGCACAGTTGCGATATACGATTTTGCCCATGAACCCCTTTGATAGCAGCTCCTGACGTCGCTCGACGTAATTTTTTGCCCGAACTTTATCCAGTACGGACGCTGCCTTAACAGGACCCATACCGCAGATAAACTGCAGCTGATACGACGTATGCTTGTGGTTAGCTAATAAGTTAATATCAACACCGTACTTATTGATCATCTGGACGAACACGCGATCGTATTCCTTCAGCAAAAGGTCCTTCACCAGAGAGTGCTGCATCATGTGAACATTCAGGAAAAGCAATTCGCGGCCACGGCTAGGTTCGTTCAGCGCAACATTCCCCCACATTGCACAGAGCTCGGACGCAGGATTCCTGAGATAACGGCCAAGACCAATTGCAGCCCGCACATATTCCGATTCCTCAGGAAATTCCTGATCTGCTCGAGTAGAGCGACTGAACATGCTTGGGACGTCATCTTTCAAGAAAACAATGTCCAAGAAATCGTGGCCATCGCCATTTCCGAAACGAGAAGCATCATCTCGACCCAACAAACGCCGAACCTCATCAACTACGCCACCCATATCCATACACTTCATACCAGCCGACACATTGATGACCACGACATGCGTTTGTGCATGCTCAGTCAAGAACTTTAGTAACGTGGCAGACAACTTCTGAATACTGTTCACATCTCGTTTGCAGTACCCTTCCGTCTTGTCCACTACTTCTCCATTCACATCGAGAGCCACAATTTGTGCGATCGAGTCCATACTACCCTCAACCCAGATCGAAACAACGAACGGATCCACGCCATCGGCTGGCTCATATGGACGCACAGATAGCCGTTCTCGTAGCGCATTACCGCATACTTTTACGATGACGTCGCGAGAAGCCACCGTCAGATCCCGTTTCAGTTCGTTTTCAAACGACGATACCATAAAACTGTTGATCGCCTCCTGAAGAACAAGATGACGTTGACTCTGCCATTCCTCGTCCGAATCGTTGCTTGGTAACATGTAGATGGGCTCTAACGGATCCATCAAATCCTGAGCTTTTTCGTTAATGATCAAAATCGTTAGCAGCCCTTCTTTTTCAGCTCGGGCAATCTTCAACCACAGATCACCTGCTTCAAAGACCTCGAGCACCGGCATCTTTTCAATGTACTGCAAGCCATGACAGTAGTGGAACTCGTCAATTTCTTCACGGCCCTTGGCGGTAGCCTCTGTGCTCATAACAGCGTTCTGGCGGTAAAGCTCACGAATGCACTTTCGGACGTTGGGCTCAGCTGCAACTTTGCTGGCGGCAATGTGACGCGCACCTTTCATCACATCATCCACGGTTGGAAACTCTTTCGTCGTATACTTTTGGGCTAAAACGCCAGGACTATCTTCCGGAGTAGGAACACTACGTATCGAGTCGTCGTGCTCCACGCCTGCCACTATGCCACCCAACACGGACGCATTCATCGTAAACGCGAGGGACAATGGACGCAAGCCTGCCTTTGTACAGATCTGGTAGAATGTACGGCGTACTGGACGGCGGTACTTGTGATCTGTGCCCTCTTTATCCTGACCGCTTGATTCCTGTGCGTCGAGAGCGAAAAACTCTGACAAATCCTTGTAAGTCTTTTCATCAGGTGTGTGGAATAGTTGCTCGTAGCACTTGCGCACAAAAGCTGACTCCTTTGCATTGGAGGAGTCGACCACACGCTGGATGCCACTCTGAAAAGACCTACGCTTGCGCTCCAACTTGTCCCACTTAACGTCGAGGTCAAGAATTTCATACAGATTTTCTGTATGCAAGCCCACGACTTTCCAATACTCCTTGCAGTAGCGCTGAACGAACGCCGGCTCGAGCTTCTCGTCATGATAGAAGCGCAGTACCGTGTCAATTGCTGACACAATCTCACCCCGCGATGCAGCAGAGTTGCGCTGATTTCTTCGCTCAAGGTTCCTAATGATATAGTCACTGATCCACTCCGACTCCTCGGCGCGATCCTCTGCATCAGGGAAATTGCGAATTTGGTAGATATACTGATAACGCTCCGGCAAATCGGTGTCACGCACTGCAATCACATCCGAAGTCATCATGTGTTCTTTTAACACACTTGGCTCGAACTTCTCAAGCAGAATGGCTTTCCTTGACTTCACAGGTGCGTCATCGGGAATTCGACCACTCGCCGCTTCCAAAAAACCATCCATGTCTCCGAACAGCTCTTCAGCTTCTCCCATCTGGTATACCGACGGCCCCTGCATCGACGCTGGGATCGGTTCCTGTTTCCTGCGCCGACGTGGGCCCTCACGCCCTTCTTCGTCGTCGTCTACAATGAACTCGTCTATGTCGTCACTCTCGTATTCGTCGTTACCAAGATAATTATTTGCGCGCTGTGGCGCTGAGCTTTCCTCTTCTTCATCCGAATCGCCAAACATACGATAACTAAGCTCACGCGACATGAGTCCAGAGTCGTCTTCGTTCTTGACTTTTCGGGACGAACGTCCCACGTCTTCATCTTCGCTATCACTGCGTGTTGGTCCCGTGTCCATGCCCATATTTTCGCGCACGAGCAGCAAATCCTCGTCGTCAATCTCCTCGACCTTTTGTTTCAGACGTTTCAGCTTCTTCTCTTTCTTCCGTCGACGGCGACGATGGCGAGCTGATAAGTGTCAATATCGTCGAGGGATGTGTATTTGTGAGTCTTTCTTAACGATCCAAGTAGGTAGCTAGCAGCCAGAGCTATCATAGCAGCTGCACAATAAGAGCTTCTTACCCGTGTCTCTCCCGTCCGAGTTCTCGTCCTCATCGTCGACCACAAATCCATCGTTCTCGTATTCGTTGTGGTCTTCTCCATCATCGTCCTCGTCCTCGTCGTCGTTGTCCGAGCCATCACCAGCTCCTCCGTCATCACTCTCGGACGCCATGTCGTCGATGAACGAGGATGTTGGGTTCTACTCTCAATAGCGATATCACGAGCGATTATTCCAGCACAGAAACAACCCGTCAGCTACCAGACACACACGGACGCACCTTCTCCTGCTCGTCGTCGTCGTCGTCGTGGCCAGACCGTCGGGCGTGTTTTTTCTTGCTCTTCTTGCTCTTCTTGCTGCTGCTGAGCTTGCGCTTTTTGCTGCCTTCCTCCTTCTTTACAGCGTCCGAGCCCGAGTCAGACACCGTGGGGGACTCGGCCCCGAACATTTCATCTGCCACACGCGACAGTAACACACAAACACCAGTGAGTATACAAACAGAGAGACAGATGGATAAGACCGATGAAACGGTGAGCGACGCACCGTCTGTCGCCGTCATCGAGAGCTTCTGCGTCCGCTCTCGTGCTCCTTCCGAGCTTCCTCAATTTCCTTCCACCCGATGACGCGCCGCCCGGTCACGTTTGTTTCCTGTTTTGACGAATAGGAGAAGAGATGGAACGAGGGCATTGGCTGAAAAGACGCTGATGGTAGGCGCTGCTCTTTTTAGCCACTTAGGATAGTCGTGCTTGCCAACGACCGTTTGCGGCTGTGCAAATAAAAATAAATGAGGAGCGAAGTGACAAAACGTGTCCTAAATAGTGACAGCAATAGACTGGCTGTGCTTTTGTAAAGTGGAAGGACATTTAGCTCTGCCTATGTATTCAGTGTTGTAACCCAGGGTTCGTCGGGTCATCCTTTACCACTGCAGAGATGAGTGGTTCCCATTTTATAGCCATGCTTTCACAGACTGTAGCTGTGCATCGCGTGCAAACCCAGTCCACGATTAGATACAACTTACGTGCGGAGGAACGAATCTCCGGGTCATCAAGATGCCCAACACTTCATTTACATCCTGCGAGCGGGGCGTCAAAGCAGACAACTCCAGGTGCCATGTACAACGCATCATCTCTATCTTCAATGTATATGTGGGTATCCCCAAGTTGATAACGATCCTACGTGACTTTCTTGGCCAGGTTCTTGAACCCGACACCCAGACATGACAGCAGCACCGTCTTAGTCTCCGGGTCGGGCTTAATCTTGAACGTAATGCCGAAGAACTCGCGCAGATGACGGAGACACGCGATACTGTGTGGCGTCAACTTGCCGAAACGCACCTTAGCCACATCTTCCGGACCCAATGTCATCAGCATGAGCACCAGTGCCTGGTTCGATGAATCCACGCATCCGCCTCTACTGATCTCTTCGCAAAGAGCATGCGAGGCTCGGGTTGCCACATCTTCCGGCAAGTCACCAGGTTCAGCCGCCGACTCTGCACCCAGAAAGATGCCAGTGGTCGTCTCTGCTACGAGACTGAGGGCAAAGCCTGGTGACTGTCCTGACTCCGCACCCTTGTAATGGTCTGAGTAAATGTAAACGTCCGGCAGCAGCTTATTAAATAGGCCGCGACTGGTCTCCACGATACGATTCGACGTCTGTGGTGATACGCGCGTGCTGTAAGCAACGCCACGAACGCGTTTGATAAACCCTTCGTCTACGAGATGCACAGCACGCAGCTCTCGCACCTGTGGACACCGAAAGATGACCTGTCCTCCACCAAGCGGCGGAGCGCCGCGCTTCTTGACAACAAGGTCCAGGCCTTCATCCAAGCCAAAGTGCCTCAGTAGTGGCAACGTTGTTGCCTTGAAAGTGTCGATGGAAGTGTCCACGTGGTCATTCGTGATGCCATCGAGCGTCACGTGCAGCGGCAGCTTAGCAAATGGAGCCAGTGCTGCCAGTACTTCCAAGAACCAGCCAATAGCACGTCCGGTACCACAATCGTGAACAACGCGGCCACCCAGGACGATCCCCGGCTGGAACTTGAGCTTGGTACCGGTTTCATTGATCTCCAAGTGACTACCGCTTGTCAAGCGGTCCAAGAGTCGCAGTAAACTCGCCTCGAAAGGTGCGAGACCAGGGTTCTCGTCTTCGGATCGGATGTCCTCAATGATCAAAGGCCTTCCACTCAGTGCCGCGCAGACGAGACGCTGCCGGAAATGCGCGCAGCCTTGGAACCGCAGCAGACCACTCGGGTGTCGACCAGTGCGAGGAGCCATTTTCGAGAAAATTGATTGGAGCTCGTGGGACTTGTGTGGACAGATGATTATGCTGTTCATAAATATTACGGTAAAGTCAAAAAGGGTAAATTAGTCCAGCGACAAGGTGCTATTCCTTTTAGCGAGAAAACGCGTTTGTATTGCTTTTTGCAAAGACCACGTTTGTGTCAGCTGGACAGTAAAACCTCAAAGCTGGTGGTGACGGGAATTCGTGTTTAAAAAGCGCCACAGAGTGCATGCGACTCTGGTTTTAGCTTCGGTAGCTTCGTCGAAAATGTGTTGTTTTCGCCTAAAATAGTCGAATGTGTGTGCTTTCGAATAGGCTGTACAAACGAGGCTTTTGCGCGTTTTTGATTCGTAGCAGTCGAAAAGATATCAGCAAAACTATCCATTTTACGTGGTTTTGGCTCGCACCGTGTATTTCACATGAACCCAACAAACACCTTTATCAACGTGTTTACGTCGGCGCCCTCGCATGTCCTTCAACGCTCTTACACCGCCTTATCTGAGTGTTTCCTGCGCATAACCTTCGTCGCCGTCTTCGCCCCAGCACGACGGTTTTCCCTTCCGCCATCGCTCCTCTAGATTTGCCATCGTGCATTCAAACACGGGCTTATGTAACTTCCGGTTCACAATGTTGTGCTGTTCGCACAGCCACATCGAGAAAGTCGTGCGCGACTCGACACTATATCATCAAAGATACCAGCAACCCATCGTGCATTAGACAAATACTATCAACAACACTAGAAGCACATGAGTTACCGTGGCGGAGACTTGGCAACCTCCTTCTGGAAATCCTCAGCGCAATGCACGCACGGATACATCAGTGCCAACGTCTCGATAAAGCTCTTGGCTTTGGCCTGGTACTCTGGTGACGGCTTTTCGGGGAAGTAAATGCCCATTGAATGCAGCTGTGAACAAGTCGAACTGAGTTAGACGGATAAGTCACCGGGATCAATTACCACCGCTCGCACCAGTCCCCACGTGGCAGTGCCCAGCTCCTGTCGATCCAAGGGGCAATCCTTAGGCAGCTTTGTATCCGTAGCTTCTTTTTTGGTCTTCTTGCCAGTCGACATCTTGAAGAAGCTGAGCTTGTCGGCACACGCCGGTTCCACGCAATTCGGGTCGCTCATGGGTGCCATGATTTCTGATGACTGTCTGAGTCGAGAATGCTAGAGCAACTTCTGCGCAACTGCATGAGTGCACAAGGCAAGATCGAATAAAAACCGGATTTTCCGATCTGATGCGATTCCAATGAACAAAGACGTTGATGAGGATGATGATGACGTATCAGCTGGTTCATGACGCTTGTGACTGCAAGTCGCGAAAGCCCCTGCTCAAGCTGGACCTTCCATACTTTATCAACGACGGTGCTTGCATTTACAACCAATCGAAGCGTGCGGCGAGACTTTTTCTACAATAGGAGAAGAAACCTATCCAAACGATTGGACTTTCTCTCGCGCGACGTCGCTATTGTGTTGACGCCGCATTGCGCGAGTTGTTAACAATAGCGTTGAGGTAGAGAGAGGCCAAGCCAAGCTGAGCCGAGTGGCTGTATGGATCACGCAGTCGGCGTGCAGAGCAGAAGAGGCGGGACGAGCTTTTGGTTAAAATTGACCGACTAGCTCAGGTGATTGGCGCACACAGTACACTGGCTGAAGCAATGCAGTGGCTACGTAGATGTGGTGCCCCAGCACTCGCTTCCGATTGCAGGATGATACTCGTCTCCTGACGAATTCTTTGTATCACAAAGAGCGAGCGGAAGGCAGAGTCCGTGTGGCAATGCCTCCTTCGGGAGCGATACACTATTTTTACTGCCGATGTGGCTGTGGCTGCTGCTGCTGCTGCGAGTACTCCTGGTATGCTGGCTCCTGCCATTTGTCGACGCTATTCCTTTAGCTCGATCATTTTAATGACACCGTCGCGGTTGGAGTGCTTCTCGCTTGAAGCCTTGTCACCAACATATGCCAGCAGGTTTTTGCTGGGATGCCAACTCAAGTACTGCAGGTTGTTCTGAAGTTGCAGATTCACGACTTCCTCGCCACTTTCTACGTCCACCACAAGCAAATTGGGGTCTTCCATGCCAATCGCGAGAAACTTGCCGTCGTAGCTAAAGCGAACAAAGCGGATGCTTGAGCTGCCATTTCCACATCACACAAATAACACATGTGAGTAATCTCTGCGCTAGCGCAACACGATGGTCTTGCAGTCACGTACGTTGTCACTACGAACGTTTTAGCGCAGTAAAGTTCTTCCAAGTCCCAGAGGCTCACGAGCGAATCCAGTCCGCCTAGCGCCAAGTATCTGGGCAGACAAGAATAAGCCGTCAACAAGTAGTAGCGAACATGAGCTGCGCTACACGCGTTCGTTCTTACCTTCCCGACGGATGAAGGTCCAAGCAAACGCAGCTTCCTGCATGTGCCGTAACCTGCACAGGTCCGATTCAACATACACAGTCTCAACAGCCAGAAACACGTTCGTCCACCGTCAGCGACGATCTCACCTTGTGCGCGCTCTCCAGATTCGGGTTTCCTTTCTTCTCGGCGACCACCCGCATGATTTCAAAGGTACCGAATCCGGCAGCATGACCAGCGGCCACAAAGAGGAACCCCGTCTTGCTGAACTGCATCTCGTACGACTCGAACGGATTCACCACGCGCCGCACCACACGCGCCTTGCGCGAGTCAATGAGCGTGATGCAGTCCAGATTACCCACGACGACATACTTGGCGTCATGTCGATAAGCAATATTGACGGCGTCGCTGGGCAGCGAGACGCTAGCGACCATGCGGCCGGTCTTGGTGTCCCAGAAGCGCACGGTCTTGTCGGCGCCCGTGCTCGCCAGACTATGAGACGCCGTGGGATCCCACGCCAGCGACAGAATTGCTTCAGAGTGGCCTCGGAGCTCCATCAGCTCGCGCTCCTATCGGTCAACAGATTAACACGTCAACAAACCCAAGACAAATGACGACAAGAGTCGAGATTGACACGCACAGAGGCAGGGTTCCAGATGCGGATGCTGCGGTCGTTCGAGCCGGAGGCCAGCATGGACCCGTCGCAGTTGAAACCCAGTGCATACGCCTTGCGCGAGTGGCCGCCCAGCTCCGGGAGCTGCACGTACACTGGTTTCCCACTCTCGCCTCCGAGTGTCATGACGATGATCCGTAAATCAAATCGGTTGTCTGGGCATTGTCAAGCAGGAGGTTCTTATCCAGAGGGATAACCCACTGTGGCGACACTGCCGCGTTTCTATGTTCACTCCATCCATTTCTAAAGGACAACGGGAAAGTATGGAAAATGCAAATTCGACGCACTGGAGCGCATCGATTCCCTAACGGTAGACAACGCACGAAGGCCCATGACAACTCGAGCTCGAGTTGGGAGAGGGGAAGAAGCGTCTACGCTGGAGGTGGCTGTCGAGAACCAGCTCTTTGGCATGCCACATGACCGCAACGTGATGCAACGGGACGCGGCGGTCAGGTATTCCGACCGTCTGGAGAACGCATACAAGCAAAAAGACCGGGTCTTGGCGACGTCAGAAGGGCGAGAGGAGGAATTGCGTGCTTACAATCAAGTTTCTGGAAAGTGGCGTTTCTATCGCACGCTATGCCAAGTCCGCTTCGGCTACCTGTCGTTCCTCGTGGTCATGATGGTGCTCATGTTCTCGTTTACGCTGTTGATGGAGATCTTCTTTTCGATTTTCCTGCCGAGTGCAAAGTACGATGAGTACTATACACTGCGAGCTGTAGTCTTGTTGGTGCTGCTGCCGGTGGTGCTGTTTATCTTGTCCTATGTTTTTGAGGAGGCATCTCGACTTTTTCTGGATGCACTCAACAAATCCGATGGCTCGTTGCCGAACTTTCGATTGGCGCTGGCTGTTGTCATCCACTACCTTCGCCATCGGAGAGAGCTACTGAAGTTTGAAGAATCGGTCAACATGGCCCAGGAAGACAGTACATTATCAGTGGGTGACAAGCAGCGGACAAGTCAGACTTCAGGGGGAAAAGACAGGGCAAAGGGGTCATTGCTACTAACGGCAGAGACCGACCCGTTCTCGGAAGACTACAAAGCGGAAGACGATGAACTTTGGGATCGCACGGAAGCAGCTGCGCCGGAGCAACAGGCTGTAGCGGAAGCGGTAGATACCCGCTTAGCGAGGCCGTCTACTGTCGGCGAGTGCTCGCCAAAGAAGAATGCACTGAAACGATGGAAGCGCGTTCAAGCAGCCGTGAAGACTACGGTGGTTATTCGAAATGTGCAGGAAGAAGGACCCGCTATCGATCTATCGACTTTTGTTGCCGTGGATGTTGTGTGTCCCGTACTTTTCGAGGTCCTGACGGCTTGTTCGATGATAGTTGAGTTCGTAGCAACCTGGTCGATGTCGGACGCGTTCTTAGTGTACGTCCAAACAGGGTTCTGGTCCGTTGGCGTATACCTGATGTTATGGATGATAGCGCATTTTTGGAGCAGTCGTAATGATAAAATGCGGATGATAGTGAGCAATTATCGCCGTCGAAGGCGCATATTGCGTCGAGCAGTTTGCGCACTTGAAGAGAAAAAGCGCGCAGAGCACTTGTGGTTGCTGGACGTAGGGTTTCGCTTCGTGCACCACGTGGGGGTCGTACTGCATCCTACGCGTTGGCTGTGTTTCAACAAAGTAAAGTGTCACAAGAAGAAGCAGAGCGAAGTGCCAACTGACGGGATCGCAATTCCAGTTGCAGCATCTCAAGGCTCTGATGTGGATGCAGGGCGATCACGTGCTGCGTCTGTGTACCTTTCGCATCGCCAGCAGGTGCAAGAATTCCGAGAATGGATACGCGCACGCAATCCGTGGCACCGCTTGTCTACCAACAGCCATGCCGTGCTGTTGTTGGTGCTTGTGATCGTGTCTGCTTTGGTTTCATTGAAATCCTTTTTTGTCGGATGGCCTATAATGGGTATGTGCCTCATCACCTTGAGCTCCGTCGTCCAAAAACGATTCCCGCAGATCTTCGGCCAAGCGTTTCGGAAGTTCATTTCGGCTTTCGTGATCGTATCACTCGTCTTCTTTTCGTCTTCGTTTATTATCGGCACTTTTGTATCTGGTGAGACATTCAAGTTGGGACCGTTTGATGATTCCACGGAGCAAGTATCAAGCGAGCTCAAAGCGACGCACGGCATATCAGCTTCTGTTACTGTTAACGGGAAAGTGATTAACTTTGATGCTACGTCTCAATACGCGGCGTGCAGCATCAGCTACCAAGGGCTTTCAGTGCTGGATTTGGCGTTGGTGGCCGACGCCGCATATGGCTCGACCACGGATACTCAGCGATCAGCACTTGGTAATCGTTTCAATGGAACTCAGCTGGATGACTGGAAGTATGCTGCACGCAACAACGAAAGCACGGACGGGCAAACGTGGATGGAGATTTATTTCCCAGCAGTCAACATGACGGTCATCGCGGTGCGAGGTACTGCCTCCGCAACGGAGGCTCTCGAAGACATGCACTTTTGGTTCGGTATCTCCATCATGCAGGCGGCGAACATTTTTGTGCCATTTCTGAAACAGTTACCTCGCGCTTTTGTGGTACGAATGCTGTCCATGCGCCTCATCTCAAGTGTGATGCCGTCGCCCGTTTATACGGATGTGTTGAATCACGCCGTTGACACACGTGCGCGCGTGGGAGAAAATCTCGTAATCACGGGACATAGTCTAGGTGGGGCCATTGCTGCTATGATCGGTGCCAAGACCAAGACGAGCGCCGTGTCCTTTTCAGGACCTGGACTGCTTTACTCGCTGGGACGCTTCGACATCACCTCTCGAGACGTTCGCGACTATGTTTTGACGATGAAACCCAAGAAGGATATCGTCCCGCGGGTAGACCAATTGGGTGGCTTGGTGCAGGAGATTCGCTGCAAAAAAGCGTCTCCAATGGGCTGCCACAGTATGAGTACTCACCTGTGCGAGTTATACTTCTCTTGCGGTGACCTACGACATCGTAACTGGTCGAAGAATCAGCAGTGCATTGCATACAATGCACTGACATCGGATGACGACGATGATGAATAGTTGCAGCCTGGTAGAGCAATGTGGAGCGAAAAAAGGGGCCACATCAATCAGATCACAGCAACTGAAATTAGATTTGTTAGCTGGATAAAAAAGACGGCGGTTGTTCGTCCATAAAGAAGCACATGCCCCGATTCCACCGTAGATGCCACACACACCGCACCCGCACGCAACCAAAGCGCCAGCTCAACCATTGCCAGCAGCTGAGACCTGTCTCATTCCACCAGGAACGAAGATTAGCAGCCTACACGCGCAACCGACCAACCAAGCAACAGAAAAAAATCACCCGAGGCACGTCGTGGTGTTCTGTAAGACTGCCAAGATGCTGGTTGAGCTCTTCGATACGCTCTCTGTACGTCTTGGACGCCAGCTTTGCAATCTCTTCTTGCTCCTGCCAAGACATCACAACCACATTAGATCAAAGCAAACCACTTGTCACGTGTGCACCACTTCAACCAGACGTGCTCTTTTCTTCTGGTGCTCAGCATGTCGACGCTGGGCCGGCGTCATGTCGTCCCGCTCCGCGTGCTCCTCTGCGTCTTCGACCTCTTCTTTGTCAAAGCGCTTCGCCTCGTCTTCACTCTCTCGATGCTGTACGACCTTTTTCTTGTGCTTCTTGTGCCTTGCCGTCGCCTTCAGTTTGCTGCTGGTCTTGAGCTTGAGTTTCCCTCGCTTGACGTTCTCCATCGCACTGCAAACTGTCTTCCAGCAAAAAATGGCTTGAAAACAAACAAAATGAAGTGGTACACGTCATGTTCCCACTCGACCTGAACACGCAGCTGTTTCATTGCATGGTGTGTCACACACACACATCATGTTTTGACAAAAGCTGGGACACAATTTCAATGGAGACGACTCCAAGTGCTGGTGGACCGTCGACATCGGCGTCAGCGACCCATGGACCAGCGACAGTCGCCAATCGCTCTTCAACAACAAGGAGACGATCTGCACCAAGCGCAAGACAAAAACCAGCGCAGACGGGACTCCCGAAGGGCATCAACTACAAGCTGCTCCGTGCTTTGAAGCCTGGCAAACAGCGCCAGGCGTATTTAAATCGCTTGCGGAAACGTCACGGCGTCGTTATACCGCAGAAACGTACTGAGATTGATCCAAAAGCTCCTATTGTTCATCAGCCTTGGCTGCCAGTAGACACCAACGAGCCTTTGACCGCGACGAGCCAACCAGGTACGACGAAGGCTGGTGTCTCCCATGGTTCAGCAAAGAGACGCCGTAAAGTCTTAGAGGAAAAAGAACATAAAGGTTTGAACGCAGGCAGTGAGTGTCATGGGTCTGTGAACAACTTCCGGGCGAAACAGGGACTTGAAGTCAAGCCAATGTCGCCGGTGCTGACAAATTTCGTCTGGCCGAGTGGCATGAGTCGTAAGGAATTTCTTGCCAAGAAACCAGGAAAAGACCGCATGGCTTACTTAGCGAGATACATGAAGAAGAACGACGTTGAGTTGCAAAAGATTGCTCCTGTTCGACCAGGTGCTCCTATAGGTCGCAAACTCGAGCCGCTGTCGCATCCTCGTTGCGGTTGCTCTGGCTCTGAAGCGTGTGCTTCCTGCAGCAGATGTGTGGAACTCCACTGTGTTTGTGGATTGACTGGACGTCGGCGTCGGGCTTTGTGTCAAGAATCGCGAGCCTGTAGTTGTACGTTGATCGACCCGACAAAACGGTGCGAGCTATGCTATGGCTGTCGGCAAACACACGGATTTAGCCATTGTCGCTGTGTGCTGCATCAGCGAATGTCATGGATCAAGAGACATCCAGAACTTGGCACGACGCTGACGGAGGAAGAAGAGAAGGCAGTGTGTAGCTGCTACCTGCTTGCACATCGGTATGGAGGAGCTGCTGCTACTAAAGAAAAGGAAGAAGATGCGCGAGAGAAAAATGAGCGTGTTCGGGCCATAAAGAGAGCTGCCGGATTTCCGTCAAGTGACAACATTTATCGCAGTAAGAAGGTCACGACATTTCTCGGTGATGAAGGATTGGAGAGCGAATATGATGATGGAGTAGACGATGGTCCGGGTTTAGAAATGCTCCCACCTAGCGCCAACGGGGTTATTCCGCGCACAATGACCGCGAGAATGCTTGGTGCTGAATACCATCCGGCCTCATATCACCCTTTGTTTCGATCGGAAGGATGCTCGCTACTAGAAAGTATTGAGCCTCGAAATGGCCGAGTCAGGTGCCGGTCCGCTCCTGCCGCAGTACGTATTGTTCGTGCCTGTTTGCTTTCGCTTTCCAGCCGACGACGAGCTAGACTAACAATGTAGCCTTGGCTGTAATAGTTTTCGAGTGACGCGATGCAGGAAGAAATATGCCGCGGACTTGAGAACTACGTGTTTGAACTCGGTAAGTAGTCGATACGCTGATCTTTATGTGTCGTCATCCGTTGCGTCCGCAAGTCCTAAATGTTAATATGATGCCTGACCTGCTTTTGTACAGACCGCGATGCTGCACTGCCGCCTGACGTACGTACACGATACATGCTTAACGTTACTATAGGAATCGTTGCTTCATAATGGCTCGTTGTATACGACAGGATCTAGTGGAGTATGTGATCTATATGGCAAGCATCAAGGCATCAAACGTCGGGGAACTTATTGGAACCTTCGATGACTCTGCAGCAGTTGCTGTAGGCATCGTTATTGAGGAATACATGAAACAGTTGATCGAAGACCATGTATTACAACAGCAACCACTGTGTCCTCCATCGAAAACGAGTGTGCAGGCATTCACGAGGGATATACTTTATGGCTTCAATTGGCAGCTTTTCCAGCGTCAGCATCTGCTTTCGTGCTCAAAAACGGAGGACCCAGTTGCAGCGCGTGTGGACAAGGAAGCAATGCTGAAGGACAAGGTCGCGAGATTGATTCTTTACGAGTTTGTTTCGCTGCAGCCACAAGAATTTGATGAAAAGGACCACGATTTGCTCACGTGGATTCGAAATGCAGTCGCCATTCCTCCCTCTGTGGTGACAGGTACAGCAATGTGCCAGTCAAGTCTTGATAAGGAAGACGACCAGCACAGTGAGGAGGCTAGCAGTCGATCCGCGAGTTGTCAAGACCCTGAAGTGGGGAAAGCTATAGGGACCCCTCAAATTCGCATGTCTGTAAGAGCAAACCCCGTACACGGCAAGCCATCGTATAAACTCCACTACACAACAACGTTACATGATGGACATCGTGCGGAGATTGCTGTTGGTGGAATTGACAGCAAAGTCAAAGCGAATGCGACGATTTTGCAGCTAGCGAAGGTTGTGCGGCGTCAGGAACAACGAAGTACGGACATGCTGCAAGACCCGCGGCTAGTGTCCAGGCCTCCCCCAGTGCTTCAGCCTCCACCTTGTAAGGACGAAGAAGATCCATACAGCAGCATGTTTGAGCATGTGTGGAAGCATTTTAACGAGTACGCGTTTCGGAAGTGGCAGGCATCTACCGATATAAATTGCAGTTCGATGTTGTCGGACCATCAAGATCTGACAGCCAGCCCAGGAGAAACTGCAAAACGTCAAAGCAAGAGCCCACCGATGCGACAGTTGAGACAGAAGAACTCTGACAGCGCTGTATGAGACCCACGAACTGAACATCTGGCCATACGACGTCCGGATCAAGAAGTACTAAGAGCTGATGACGTATTGGTTTGGTATGATGCAAGAGGACATCATTCACAGGAGAGTAAGCTTAGCATGTCACTCACCAGACACGGAGCTTGTAATGCAGCACTCTCGTGCACAGGATCTGACCCGGTCGCCATGCATGAAGACCGCAACGACTGAGTTTCCTTCATTACATTTTAGCTGAGGGCGTTTAGCCTTGGAACGGTGGTGTTGATTTGTGCGGCGGTCCGTAGCTTACTTTACTCATCGTTAAGTGTCAGTTCACACATTGTAACTGACTGGCGAGATGACATGGATACTTTGCATGGCGTGATTGGAGAAGGCACGTACGTGGCAGTATCCGGTATAACTGTGAGGAGATCAGCAGACTGTGACCCTGCAAAGCTCGAAATGATGTTTCCCTGGCGTGACGCTGCGTCTATGGCAGATGTAGTATATCTTCAAGCACGGCAACAACATCGTGATGGAAATCACCTTGTACCGATTAAGCGCTCTGCTTACGATCCGAGTACAAAGGGCTGGAGGCTTCGTCGTTCGAGTCAAATTGCCTCATGCAAGACAACGCGACACGAAGCCATGTTGCTTATGACTGAGTTGTGCGATTTCGGACAACGGAATGACTGCGTTGACCTAGTTCGTGTCCTCGTACGACGAACGTCAACCCTTCAATCCACGCTTGTCGATATCAGCAACTCAAGATTGTGGATGCATGGGTGTGACGCATGTTCAGTCCAGGAGAGTTGCATGCTGAAGGTCAATCTGAGCTTTTGGAAAGAGTGAAACTGATCAGCCGTGTTTAGTACAAGAGATACCAACCCACTCCAGGAATGCTGGTGCTTTTCCAGCCGATGGTTCCCTGGCGCGAATTTTTCGGTGCATCAATGTTGACGATAGTGCAGTCTTTTGTTCGAGGCGACTACAACTTGTCAATACGGCGTCATTCTGGTGTACGCAAAAGTGCTTTGCAAGTGAAGAGTGTGGCAGTTGTACTCATCGCATGACTGCAAGCCCGACCATAAGAGCTTCAGACGTTGCGAAGTCATCAATGGCGAAACAGGGATCAAGACAAGGGGTGCGAACAAACATCATGCTGGAGGTGTGCTTTGTCGATCAAGTCGTGCGAAGCTGGTCGGAGCAAGTGCTGGATGTCAAGTTGTGGGATACCCGAAGCGGTGGAAAGTCGGGAGATAAAGTGGTCAGGGAGTAGGAGAAGCTGAAAGGACTAACGAGTTGGAAATGGGTACTCGATCAGCAGTGGCAGCTTGAAGACGGTGATGGACTCAGTGAAGGCCAACAGAATGTCAGCGCGCAGTGTAGTCACCAGCAAAACTGCGAAGACCTTTCGGATGATGCTGGTGAGATATACACACCATGGGTAGGAGCAAGAACATTGTAAGAAGGTTAGAGGTGGATTTTAAGGCAACAAGTAGTCGAGTCAGCAAAATCAACCATGACACGGTGACGGCAGCGCATCTTTTTGCAACTGCAGGTCACCCGTTGTCGTCGCCATTTGACCCATGTCTCGTGTTTGTCGAAGCGAATTCTGTTGCACTGCATGACTCAAGTAAGCCCCAGTGGTGCGTACGCCGCGTCGGGGTTGACTCGTCAACCAGTCAGCGATATCTACGTTCTTACTGCAATCAAGTAGCTGGTAGTCAAAAGTTACGAAACGGCCCCCGTCGTTTTTACGGCCCCCGTCGTTTTTACGGCACGGCGATCTTCTATTTGAAGCGAATACTCAACCGTGGCTTGCGTGCGACAATCAACTTACTCACAAGTCGCAGAGTTCACCTCTTTTTTGTGTACCGTTTGTGTAGTCCATCACCATGCCGTCACGACTGGAAGCTGAACGCAAGCGCAGTCCTCTTCCTGCGCGTGAACTGGCCTACGTGCTGCACAAGAGCAAGGATCTGGTGCAGAAGAGCAAGCAACTGGAGCAGCTGCTGGTGCAAGACCCGGTGTTTAACCATGAGAAGATGAACTACTTGACGCGTGAAGAGCAGTACAAAAAGGCGATACAGATGGCGGCCAGAGTCGAGATCATTGCACGCCGTAACCGGCTGAGTGAGGCGGATACGGAGCTGCTGCGTCATATTTTACAGACCACCACGAGCTGCGCGGCGGCCACGTTGCTGCACACGCTCATGTTCGTGAAGAATCTGGGATTGCTGTTCACGGACGAGCAGCAGGCACAGTGGATGGAGATGGCCAAACAGTGGCGGATGATTGGATGCTACGCGCAGACCGAGCTGGGTCATGGATCTAATGTCCGTGGACTGGAGACTACGGCCACGTACATCCTTGCCACGGACGAGTTCGAGATTCACTCGCCTACGCTGACGTCCATGAAGTGGTGGCCTGGCGCGATGGCACGAACCGCCAACTTTGGAGTTGTGTATGCGAGACTGCTGCTGTGTGGAAAGGACTATGGCGTGCACAACTTTATGGTGCAGTTGCGTGACTTGGAGACGCATGACGCGATGCCAGGTGTGACGCTGGGCGACGTTGGTCCAAAGGTCGGATATAATAACGTGGACAACGGGTACTGCAGATTCGACCGTGTCCGCCTTCCGCGACGGAATATGGGGATGAGGTTTGCTACGGTGACTCGAGAGGGCAAGTACGTGAAGAACTCGAATGTTCCGCAGGAAGTGCTGTACTTTACCATGTTGCAGACCCGAATCGTGTTTATTCGGTCGGCGGGTATCAACCTGGCGAAGGCATGCACCATTGCTATCCGCTACTCGGCTGTTCGTCAGCAAGGATATGATGCCAATGATCCGTCTTCTAAGGAGGAATTGAGCGTACTGGACTACCAGACACAGCAATACCGTTTGTTTCCGCTTCTTGCTGCAGCGTACGCGATTGTGTTGACAGGTCGGGCTACTGCTGTGTAATTTTCGATTTCTGAAGATAACACTGATAAACTGGGATGCAACGAATGATGACTGTAGGAAACCGCATGGATCAGTTTGCTGCTGCACTACTGGAGCAAACAAAGCGTGGAGATGTCGATTTACTTACTGTGGGACACGTGATGAGTTGCGGACTCAAGGTCCGAACAACAGATCTGTCCACTGCTGGCATTGAGACTGCTCGTCGGGTACGACAGAATGCTCGGTTTGGCTTTCGAATGATGCAATTGTTAGCTGACATGTGATAATCATCAGGCTTGCGGTGGTCACGGGTACCTGCTCTCAAGTGGTAAGTCGAAAGGTGCCTCTCGAAGGATGAAGAAAATCATACCGTGCTTCGCGCTCACAAGAATCCTTTTGTATTCCTTACAGGCATACCGGTGCGCCTTCATCTATCACGCAGCTATTCTAAGAACCCGACCTATAAACCCGTTGTCGTGCTATTTGTTAGGTCTTATTGGGAGATACCCTGCAGACTGTCACGACGGAAGGTGATAATCTGGTACTGTCGGTGCAGGTGTGTACTATCCGATAATTCTTGTCCAGGTGCGGTCACACTTCACCAATTCGAGTTGTGTTTTGTGCGTGGCAGACTGCTCGCGCTCTGCTGAAAATACTAGCCTTGTACAAGAGAACTGGGAAAGTGCCAGGACCGATGGCGTTTCTGTCAGGTACTGACGAAACTCAGAGTGTAAACCCTCGCACTGAGCAGCAGTGGCTAGAGCCTCGTAATTACGTTGCAGCTTTCGAGCAGCGCTTTCTGTTTCAGCTCCGGTTGTACGAGAAGAAGATTTCGACGGAGTCTTCACTCGCTGCCGGTTTGCAGAACAACTCGCTGGACACTCTGAAGCTTACAAACTCATATGCCAGCTTCGTGCTCGTGAAGACCTTTGCTGAAGCTCTAGAAGCCCCATCGACCCTCTTTTCAGGATCCGTATCTTCGCCTGTGGTCCTGAACGTCGTACGTCTGCTGTGCCATTTGTTTGCACTTACGCAATTGGAAGCTTCTGCCGGGGAGTTTATGGAGAGTGGGTGCGTATTTCCCAGTGAGATGCCGATGATCCGTGCGAACATCGAGAAGCTGCTCGCCTTGATCCGCCCGCACGCCGTCACACTTGTGGATGGCTTCAACTTCTCGGACCATATGCTGAACTCAACACTGGGTCGCTACGACGGCAACGTATACGAGGCTCTGTTCGAGTCTGTACAGCACGACCCTTTGAACCAGTCGTCAGACAAGGTTGCATTGCATGAGTTGTTGCGTCCAATACGGGACGAAATGTTGCAGTCGCGTCTCTAGGAGTCGTGCGAATCGTTTGTAACAGCACGACCTTCGACGATGTTGCATTCGGTGAGTTAAACACCATATTTTGCGTCTGTTTCATCCAGCTTGACTTGCAATAGTGCATACCATTCGCATACAGGTAGTACGTTGCTAAAAAAAATGCGTTGCTGAGCTGGCGGATTCATACTTTTGTCAAGTTGGTACGACCACAAAAGAATTTAGTTGCGATAATGGTTGATTGAAACAAGGGATGTTGGGTAAAAAGCTCCGTGACTTTTTCACACTTATGAGCACTTTTTACCACGTTTTCACGTTTCTACCACTTTTTACCAGCATTTAGCATATCTACCAGTTATAATCGTTTCACCCAGCTTTTGACAGTTTTACAGCTCCACAAAGCAGGTTCTCTCTGTGGTGAGTGGCTGGCCCGGGTGAAAAATGTCAATCTGCGATGAATAAAAAAAGGTGCCGGAGGGGATTCCGATAGTCACAATGTAGAAGAACAGGTATCTGCAGATACAATGCATGCAATGAAGCTTTTTTTGACCGGTTGCTGACCAGGTTCTCATCCTTGAATTTCCGTCTCATCGGGAGTACATTTGCACGACTGTTTCATGCTGTAAGCAGAGAGACCAGCAGTATAACACATAATACCTGTGCAATGTAACCCCCATGCGCTCTGCCTAGGGTTGTAGATCAAGCGAATACTGGCTGCACTTGGCCTTGCTATCGCTCCATCCATTTTCACCTTTTCATAAAAATACCCACAGCTGTAGACGAGGGCGTCCGAAGTCGGGCATGGTAAACCTGCAAATCGCAAAAAGCTGATACGAATTGATAGCATTGCAGAGAAGGCGTGTTTAAAGCCTTTGGCGGGAACAGTGGGCCTTTAGAACTGAATGTGCGGAGGACAGCCATGTATCCTACTAGATGCCAAGCCTCCTTTTAATTTTCGTGCTAGATGGTAACGGTTGGGCGACAGGCAGTGGGGATGGTTGCAGCTAAACCTCCCATTTAAAATTCTTTGACAAAGTTCTGGACTGCGAATAGGTGATTGTTGGTAAAAAGTCTTTTTGAAATGAGGCCTAGTCTTACCATTTTCAACGCTGGTAACAGTAAAATGTTACTTACCGAAACGTAACGTCTTTGATCGAGATGATCACGTCTTGTCAGTCTCCTTTTGCACTTCTGCAGGTTTGCTCATTCTTTTGTTGATACTTTCTTCGATCAGCACACACAGAAGAGTTTCGCTCGCAGCAAAATCAAACACACTAAGATAATGTCAATGAAATCCACATGAAGTTTATTGATTTCTCTGCAACGATGAATCGTACTCATTGACACTGACATGAATTCGTTCGAGACATGTGTACGATAATGGTTTGACCTCGAAGGCCGCGTTGCAGCAAGTTTCTGCCACCGATTCTATGCACGTTCATGTCAACTGTTGAAAACAGGTGGAATCAACCACGCGGCAACTAACGTCACCAATTGGGACTAGACTTGCATCACAAATCGGGTACTCAGCTTCTTCAATGCTCCGTCATAGTCCATAAAAAATCAGCTCGCATCTTAGGCAAAGCGACGGACCCAAGTGTGCATGGCAGGTCTCATTCCGTGGTCACGTCTGCGGTAGTACCATTCCATCTCGTCATAAAAAGTGAACCAGTCTTGACACAATCGTCAGAGGCTACTCAACCACCAATGCCTTATCAATCAAAGCAATCGCTTTGTGTAACCTTTTTTACTTCCAACAATTCCATCCCCACTCGACCGCATCCTGTGACTGCGCTTAGAAACGCACGATAGAAATCGCAGCGTACCCTCTTCTATACTCGGGCTTTCGCGCGCGGATCATCACTCCTCCTCATCGGCCTTTCCAGTGCGTGATGACCGACAGTCGGCGTCTAGCGCTGGAGCGATGGCGTGAAGACAGACGTCGTCAGAAGGAGGGACACGTGCAGACGACGGTCAAGCTCGCTGGCTCCGTGCGTCGGGTCGTCACTCACCGGTACCCACAAATCACCCAGCGATTACTACTGGGTCTTTTTCCATGTACTTTAGTATCTGAACCGTAACCTTGTGATGACAGTCTTGCTCGAGACCCGCCAGTGCGTGCGCGCGTAACCCCTAAACAGCGCGAGAGACCGTCACCCGTTACGTTGTCAATCGACCGTCGAGTGTCGCAGGTATCGGTCCCATTGGAGCCAATCGAAGAGCAGGGGAAGCTGCTGTACAAGACGCCAGCAAAAGCGAGGAGCGATACGGGAGCGGAGACGGACGTCGCCACGTCGGCAGCGTCCGCAGACAGCGTCGAGAGTGGATCTTTCTTTGGTGTCAAGAAGAGACGCAGACGACGGAGCTACATCTCCCCAAGCTCCAATGCACCGTCGTTGGCTGGTGGAGCTCAGCGAGTGTTGACGCCTACAAGACAGTTATTGGAACAGGAGAGTGATGACGACGAAGATGGAGGCATGGATGAAGACATGGAGGAGCAGACGCTGGAAGTTGTGCCGGGACCGCGACGGGTCAGTGTGCTGGCACAAGAGAAGATGAGTGGCGACGGTGCGGAGCCCGCAACGCCGTACAAGATGGTACAGGACGACGAGGACGGGCACTCGACATCTAGGGAGACGGTTTCGCTCGGTAGTATTAGCATGGCACTTCATTCAACGAATGCTGGTTTTAAAAAGGAGGACGACATTAAGAGGGAAGCTGGGTCGACACTGCAGCAGTTCTCGTTGCATCCTGCGCTTCAGATAGAAGGGGAGCTACAGCAACCTCTACCAGTGCGAATGAAAACCGTGGATGACGATGAGAGTGTAAGCATAAAAGTGAAGAGCTCAACGCCTGAACAAAAGCTGCCCCTTTTCGACCGTGCTCCGTCGAATTCAGCACAGATATCTACGAGGACCAGCATTGACCCGAAAACATGTCGTCGAAGTTTATCTGGTCGTGCATCACTTGACGATTCAAAACCTGTGAGATCACTGAGCGAGCGGATGGAAGGGAATCCGAAATGGGAAATGGACGACTTTTTCGTGACACGGAATTTGGGTCAAGGCAAGTTTGGGAATGTGTATTTGGCCAAGGAGAAGTGCTCGAACATTTCTGTTGCTCTCAAGGTAAGTCGTGCGAGAGCAGCTGTATCAGCTATGTAATAATCGCCGCTAATTGCTGTACTCACTTAGGTCCTATTCAAGTCACCATTAACACGTGACGGAGGTGCAAATAATTTAAAGCGCGAGATCGAGATTCAAGTGCGGCTCTGCCACCCCAATATTTTGCGAATGCATGGATACTTTTACGACGATTCTTGCGTATACATGGTGCTCGAGTACGCGCCTTATGGAGAACTTTACAAAGAGTTAGCGAAAGAAAAGTATTTTGCAGACGCTGTGGCTGCCCATTACGTGGCCCAGGTGGTGGAAGCTTTGAAGTACTGCCATAGCTGCAACGTGATTCACCGGGATATCAAGGTAGTGTCAGTTGCTCAGTGTGGTTTCATTTTCAAAACTCATCGTGTGTGTATGTGCACGATTGTCTGCAGCCAGAGAATCTGCTGTTAGGGTATAATAGAACCGTCAAGCTTGCTGATTTTGGGTGGTCAGTGCACGCGCCGACACCGTATAATTTTCGGAAGACGTTCTGCGGAACCCCAGATTACCTGAGCCCCGAAATGTTAATGGGGGAGCCTTACGACTATCGGACAGACTGTTGGAGTCTGGGCGTGCTTACCTACGAGCTGCTAGTAGGTTCAACGCCGTTCTACTGCGTAAATCAAATGGAGATGTATAAGCGAATCGAACTCGTCGACTATCAGTTTCCACCGAGGCCTCTGGTTTCCGATTGCGCCAAGAGCTTTATAGCTGGATTACTGAAACGGAAGCCATGCGAGCGAATGAAATTGGAAGATGCGTCCAGACACTCGTGGATCCAGAGGCCCCACTCGACGTAAGATCACTATAACCTGATACGAAGCAGCATGGCTTCAGCCATCACAATCGCAATCCGATCACACCAAACAGTACTGATCGTTCGTGTGAACGACCAGCGCATCAAATTAAGGCTATAAAACAAGGCACACACAGAGCGTTCAGCTCAAGGCACGTTGGTAGCTTACGTGATAGCATGACTTACTTTTTGGCGAGAACATCAATGATCTGATCGACAGAAAGAATAAAGAAAGCAGACAAAGGCCTGCTATTGAGTATCCCGTATCGTTTATGCCTGCAATTACCGGAGAACAAGCGCTGCAGAGGATAACAAAGGTAAGGACAACACGCTAAATGTGTACGCACGCGGGCAAATCAGCACAACTTACCTCTTTACTCGTTCCACGATTTAGGTACAGAGAAACTTGATAGAAGTACAGCCAACTGAAGCAGACCGTGACGCTCTTCCTCCTCAGCGCTAAAAAGTTGACGGCAATGGCATTTCTGCTGCGGCTGCCCCGTTAAATGTCTAGCTCTTATAATGGAGCCTCTGGGAGCAGTGCGTGTGTGTCTTCTCCTCCTAAGACCGATCGCAAGCTTGAGTATTTGCGAGTCACCACAGCAGATGTTATGGTCTTACCATTGATCGTGATCTGGTCATTTATGTTAGTGATAGAGCAAGGAGCGACGTTCAATCTGCGAACAAAAGTGACACATGAATACGCTGCTCATCTTGGTAACAGTGGACAGGAGACGCATCGAAGATTTAAGTGACCTCGTTCCTTGATTAGTCAGCTTATGGCATGTCTAGCCATTTAGGATGGATAGTCTGGAAAAGGCTTGTCAGCGCCTTGATGAAGAGCGCCACCACTTTTCGCTCCCGTGGCTTCTCAATAAAAGTGAGCAAAGCTTCAGACACGTCCAAGTGACAGCTGCTTGTGTGCTGCCGAGCACCAAGGTCATGCGTGGAACTGGTTCAGATTTTGCTTCGGTAGTGCTTTCACTCATCAGCGGGAATGCAAGCAGTTCATCTTTAGCAGGAAGGTGATCAGCACTCCGTACTCACCTTTGTAGCTCGTTGCGAAATCAATATGAAGTCGTACAACAAATAGAGTTGTGAGGACCTAGAGTATCAATTGTCGACGTCAAAGGAAGTCCTACTTACAGCTGAATGATCTCATGCATCCTCTGCGTCTCGACGTTGCAATCATGAACCACACGAACACTGCACACAGGTGACATGAGCAACGTTCCGCCAACTGCAGAAAAGTCAATCACCTCACCGTGCCGCATCTATCCAGCGTCGATCGCACGTCATTTGTATATGTAGTCGTGGCTCCTCAAGATCACACACACACACCACCTACAACCACCGTATATTTTCTTGAAAACCATGTGTCTTTTGACTTCAAACGAGCGACAAATTGGCTCACCAACGCTCCCAGCCGCAGCTCTTGACGTCCAGTTCCACACATACTAGGTACGACTTTCATATTCACCAATCCTGTCCCATCATCTATCACAGGTGTCAACCAAGTCACTCAGGTATCATGTACACCTCTTTTCGTACTGATGTTTCGTCTGACCTAGCTTAAGCTGCCTGTCGGTCTTCTTGATCAGCATTCCGACCACTTAAATGCGGCCAAATTCAGCATGGGATATGGTGTAGCCGTGCATCTGCGTATTGAATGCTATAGCTGCACTCTGGAGATGTGCAACGTTTAGTCAAAGTGCACAGTGCAGCAGTTGCATTAAAATGAAGTCAAAGTAGCGGATAGTCAGGATAAACAACATCACTTTACAGCTAGAGATTGTCTCCAATTCGACTCGATTTAGCTGAATTGGATGCATACCAAACGCCACCATCATTACGAATTTGGTATGAGATGTCATAAACCCCCACGTTTAGGGTAATTTGGTGCTGGACGCGTTGCAGGTATCAAGTTACATGGTCCATGGAACTCTAGAAGCAGCCCGATGACTTTCCCGGAAGCGGAGCACGAAAGTTTACAATTAAGCAGCACGATGTATCGCTGCCTTTCCATTCCAGACAAGAAGAGCGTTCAGTTGTTGGATGTCGCTTCAATGTAGTAAAGTGGTGAAAACCTGGTAATATGCAAAGCAAACGCTTGCAGTGCCCCAGGGTAGCTTAATGAATTGTAAAGGGCTAGAATTAGTGCTCAGTACGGGAGATGCGTACGCTTGGCCTCAACGTTTGCTACAGCGTCGATTATTTTCGTGTCGTTCATAGCATTTTGCGATATGTAGTACTTTCTATAAAACGGGTTCAATGCAACGTCACGTGGCCGATGGATAGCAAGAAGGCAAACCACTTGTGTCATGTGTGTGGGAATTGGTAAAATTATCAGGCATTCATTGTATACCAACAGTCCAGACCATAAATATGCGGCCACTCTACTTGCACTTATAACTCTGTAACTACTACGAGGTGAACGCCTCTATTTTATGCTTGTTATGCGCAAAACTTAATACATATCCCTCATTTGCTTACGACTGCAGTATGTGTATTGGTGGCATAGATCACATCCAAAAAAAACCGATTTTGGCATCCGGTCAAAAGATGTACAGCCGGGTACGACCATACAAATTTCTAGTTTGTAATGATATTACGAACGTTGGTCGAATCAGTAGTGCTTCGAATTTACTAGCATGTCTATATGCTGCGCCGTTGTATCGATCTTGAGGATATCGGTGCAACGGCGCGGCATAGAGTCGATCAAAGCGTTATTCGAAGTACGTCATTTCCACACACCGATGACTGCAGAGGTCAGAGTCGAAACATAATTGAACGATTTTCCGTCTGACATACCTTTTTGGACATCAACGCCAAGACGTTTTTAACAGGATTCAAGCCCGGAGAACGAAATGACCAGTCCAAAACGTCCACGCCTAGCTCAGCGAAGAAGTCCATCGTGAGTGAAGATGTACGTATGGACGAATTGTCCTAATAAAAAGAAAATTGGGTCCGTATTGGTTATGTGCAAACCAAAGCAAACACTATGATAAGGTAAGAATTGACTCCTCAAATTTGGCTTCCCAACCGAAATGGCGAGCTCAGTGATTACAAATCCGCTGAGCCCACCCCAACTATGATGGATCCTCCGCCTATCTGAAGACGGTTCATCTACCAGATAGATACACGCGTGCATAGCTAGTAGTGTTGTAGACCATCAGGTCCATCGAGTTCCAAGTTTTTTTTAGAAAAAAATGCCTGTCCATGCACCGGGGTGTTCAATTATTTTTATCGACCGTACAAGGCGACACGCTCTGTGGTCCACCTTCAGCTGAAGCGCTTACTCCATTTTAGTGTTCGACATACACTCGACACATTGAAGCCTGATCAGTACACACCAAGTACTGCAGCTCAAGATGCCGATACAATTGTGATACTGAGCAAGCTTCCGTGGCTGTCGTGCGTACGATCAAATGGAGCGCACGATCAGATATAATTGATGGACCCCCCCCGTGTCTTGATGAGTTTACACATCTTTCCAAAACACGATTAGCTGCATCACCTGGACGTTGAACGGTGCATGTGATGACGCGCATCGCTATGTCAGCCTCATGCATCTCCTTAATCATTCCCGCTCCTTAGTCGAGATTGCTTTCACTTTCCATACCACTTCGCTAATGCCGACGAATATTGTCACGTACTAGGAATTTGTATCGTCGTCCCTGGTCGTACTTCTTTTGACCGGGGTTCAAAAATCGTTTTTTAGGTTACCTATGATGGTGGTCAAACTTACTGTTGTCGCATGTTGGCCTAAGGAACCTTCTGAATTGTATTGGGGAGTATATTTGCAGGTACAGGTTCTCCATTCGTCAATTTGGTCGTCAATTTACAGAATGATTAAAAATTGCCAAAATTTGATCATGTTAAAACAATTTGAAGACTCCGTTTGCTTCACATTTCACTAATACTGTATTGGGCCACCCCGTTACATAAGTAGGTTCGATTAAGTTTACATGTTACTTAAGTAGGGGTGTTACTTTCGGAGTAGCGAAAGTAGCACGTCGTATAGTTTTGCTGGTTTAATGGGCTCAGTACCATTAATAGCCAGTAAGATATAGGCACGTAGATTGAGTGGTTCCCATGAGTCCAAGGGAACCATTCGTACTTAGAATGATTTAAAAGACAAAAATATAAACAGAGTTAAAATTACTTAATACCTAAGACTTGGGCTTCAAGCTTCCTCAAAGCGTTAGAAATAGTGTACGCTAAGTACGGGTCATTCTAGCCCCGTTGCACCTGGTAGCACTTTTTAGTTCTTCCCATGCCCGAGTTTGGGATAAGCGATTCGTCGTACTTTGACGCTCCAGACGTGAGTCTGGAGCACGCGACTTTTCCCCATCTCACTGGTGTTGAGTGGGATGCCCTAAATCGCCTCGCGGCGATATCTGGAGAGGCATTCGTTGTGTCGCTGATGAGATCAGCGACTCCTGATGGACAGCGTCTCGCCATACACGACTACATGGCTCGCGAGCTCGCCGAATCCCATCGGCGAGGTTTAACTCCCTCGCGGACTTCACGGAACGATGCCTTGAAGATGGAGACCTCCGCCTATTCTGGCGAAGGAAAAGAACGCTTGTCGTTGTCTCGTTGGTTTCGAGAGGTCGACATCGCTATCGCCTCGAGACTTCCCGAGGCTCCTCAAGCGAAGGTCAATTTCCTTCTTTCCCGTCTCACTGGGAAAGCCAAGGAGTGGGCCTTGGGAAAACTCGTTGTTGACGAGTTTGCGTTCCCCACTCTGGAAGCCATCCAGAGTGACCTTCGACTCGCCTTCGAGCCGCCCCAGGAAGAGAAGTTGGTGCGTTCAAGGTTCCTGTCCCTGCGACAGGGTAAGATGTCCATGCGCGACTACGTGCAGATGGCTCGATATCTGGCGTCTTGCATTATCACGCATCCCATGGACATGTATACACAAGTGAACGTGTTTGTCGATGGCATGCGTGAAGGGCAGACTCGCCTCTCGCTGGAACGAGCAGAGCCTGCCACGTTGGAGGAGGCTTGCGCTATCGCTCTCCGTGAGGACTTCAGAGTCACCAAGGCCTATACCAAGCCTTCAGTTGTTACCGCTGTCAGATCAGCGGGCCCGTAACCTATGGAGATCGATGCAATTGAGTCGTCGGGTGACCGACGACGCGCTACAGCCTACAAGGGCGACGTCCGAGGCGGACGTCAGATGATCTGCTTTCGATGCCGAAAGCCGGGACATCGCGCGGCTGAATGCCGCGCGCCAGCACCGATGTCGGTGCATGCGACGGACACCCATCATGAGGGAGGTGCTCCGATCAGTCGCCAAAAAAATGGACGAGACCAGTAGGTGCAGGGCGCCCTACTGGTTTGAAGGGAGGTCCGGGTCATCCGGTGGCAGCCCGACCTCCCAGCCCATCTGTGCTGCGTGCACGGTCAAATGCCACCACTACGAGTGGTGATTCACGCCTGATTATTGTTAATCTACATGTCGCCGGTATCCGGCGACCTCTACGAGCGCTCCTGGATTCAGGAGCGACAAACAATTTCTTCCGTGAATCTTGCGTGTCAATGCTGCCACCCAGCATTCAGATCCACGAGGGACCTGGTCAAGTTGTTGTCAAGCTCGCTGACGGGAAACCATGCCGCGTATCGCGGCGCGAAGTGTCGTTGCCGTACACGTTTGACGGCTTTCGCAGTAACGACAATTTCTTGGTGATTGAAATGAATTATTCATTCGATTGCATCCTGGTCATGCCATGGTTGGCACGCTATAAGCCCCAGATCGACTGGTTAGCCAGATCAGTGAGACGTCGAAGCAAGTTCGACGTCAGCGAAGTGTTCACCCATCTCTTGGTGGCTCCAAGTGATTGGCCGAACGTTACAGTCGTGGATCGTACATCCACGACACCGGCGGTACACAGAGTGAGCGATGGCCCTCTCTGTACCGCTTGTTCCGTGCCCCTACGCACGAGTGATGATGTCTCCTCGCGTTGCAGCGAGGAGTCCGACGTGTACGAGCAGTGGCTCCCGCGTAATGACGACGCGGACGAGCAGTGGCTCCCGCGCGACGACGACGCGGTCGAACAGCGGTTCCCGCACGAACGAGAAGTGGTCGAACACGAACAAGTGTTCCCACCTCCACCCATTGTGGTCGAGCAGAGGCTACCACAAGGGCAAGATGTGGCCGAGCAGGGGCTCGCCACCCAGTGTGACGTGGATGGACAAGAGTCCCCACGTGCGAACATGATGGTCGAACAGGGGTTCCCATCGTCGACTACTGTGGTCGAACAGAGTTTCCCACATGAGCAAGACGTGGTCGAGCAGGGGCTCCCACACGAGTTTGTGGCGGTAGAGCAGGGGCTCCCGCATCATGCGTCGACGGACGAGTATGGACTACTCCCGTCACGCGATTTCGACGTCCTGGATAAGGACATCCAGCGTCTAGAGGGGGGTGCAGATTTAACACCTGACTGCGGTTCGCCAGCTTCGAGCATGGACTCGAAGCACGATGGGGACGCAAGCTACGAGAACTCAGCGTTGGAATGTTTCCACGCTATTGTGTACGTGGACGGGGGTCCACAAAGGCGCCAATACATTGAGGTCGCGAGTCCACCTCGCGACGCGTCGTCGATTACGAGCCTTCCAGGACCCTCCTGGAAGCATTTTCTACGTGACCTCAAGGGAGGCACGGTGGAACAAGTATGTCTGGTCACCAACGAGGTGACCTATGAGCCGTACGAGGAGCGAATGACGCGCCCTCGAAGCGCTGAGCAAAAGTCAGCGCGCGAAGAAAGATTTGCGTCGCAATCTTGGGAGGCTCTGCGCGAGTCTGGTAACCCTGTTTACGACATTGCACGAGAGTACGCCGATGTGTTCCCGGACAAGATTCCGGCCGAACTCCCTGCCGATCGTGGCGTGCGGCACGAGATTGATCTGGTGCCAGGATCGAAATATTGTGTGACACGCCAGTGGCCGTTGCCTCGAGACCAAGTCGAGGCTATTGATGCATTCTTCGAAGGTCGTCGCAAGGCCGGTCATGTGCGTGAGAGTGTCTTACCCCATTCGAGCCCAACCTTCTGCGTGAAGAAGGCTACAGGAGGCTGGCGTATATTGCATGCGTTTAACAAGCTCAACGATGCCACTATTCCTGCCCAAACGCCTATCCCCAGGAAAGACATGGTTCTAAACTCCATGTCAGGTAGCGTCATCTTCAGCCTCATCGATCTGACCGATGGCTTCTACCAGATCTTGATGCGACAGAGTGACATACCACTCACTGCGGTGTCCACCACGAGTGGTATGCTATGGGAGTGGCTGGTGATGCCACAAGGATTGAAGAACGCACCAGCCACTTTCAATCGCATGGTATCTCAAGTGTTGAGACCGCTTCGAGACTTTGCTCTTAGCTACTTCGATGACATTTTTGTCCACAGTCGCGCTGAGGGCAACCTCAGTGCTGTCCGAGTTCACATTCAACACCTGAAGCAGGTGTTTCAAGTCATGCAAGATAACAAGTTATATGCAAACTTGAAGAAGTGTGTATTCTGTGCACCGGAGATTCCGGTGATGGGCTGCTACGTGAGTAAATCGGGTGTTCGAGCCGATCCAGAGAAGTGTCGTCAATCTGTTCTTGGCCCACACCCAAGAACCCTACGGAGTTACGTCAATGGCTCGGTCTAGCTAATTACTTGCATAAGTACACAAAGGATTACGCCGGTTCTATACAGCCCCTGTCGTCACTTCTGAAGAAATACGCCACGTGGTCGTGGCGTCCCGAACATCAAGCAGCCTTTGACGCAGTAAAGAAGAGCCTGGCGTCGGCGCCAGTGTTGATACTCCCTGACGACACCAAGCTGTTTCACGTGGTGTGTGATGCAAGTGACTTTGCAATTGGTTGCGCCCTCATGCAGTTCGATCATGAGGGCCGTGAACGAGTCGTGAGCTACCAGTCACGACAGATGAAGCCGGCAGAGAAGAACTATCCGGTTCACGATAAGGAACTGCTAGCGATGCGCTATGCACTCATCAAGTTTCGTGTCCACCTACTGGGCGAACGCACGTTCGCCCTATATACTGATCATGCATCGCTGCGAACAGCAATGAAGAGCCCACACCTGTCACAGCGGATGGCACGGTGGCTCTCTTTCTTCTCCGAGTACAACTTCGTCGTGCACTACAAGCCAGGCAAGACCAACATTCTTGCTGACGCACTGTCACGACGCCCAGATTACGATCCTCGTATAGCACTGAGTCGTCAGGCAACTGACGACGAAGATGAAGACGATCGATGTGCGACGTGTGTGTCGTTGAATCTAACTCGGGTCACACCCGAGTTATGCCTTTTCGATGAAATTGTCGCGGCTTACGCGAACGACCCGGATTACGCGGACATTATCGCCTATCTGCGCGCTCCCAGTGAGGCTGCACTGGGAGCTCTTTCGCGAACGAAGCGTGATCACATTCAACGATACAGTATGGACGGTGATTTGCTGTTATATAGCATCGACAAATTCGATGCACCTCAAACGGTGATTGCGAATGACTTGGATTTGCGTGCTTGTATCATCCACGAGTACCATGATGCCCCAATTGGCGGTCATCTGGGCCGCAAAAAGACATTCGCGGCTGTCTCGCGTGACTTCTTCTGGCCCCACATGTACAAATGGGTTCGCAACTGGGTTCGCACCTGCGAAAAATGTCAGCGCGTATAGCCATCTCCATCGTCGCAGGCACCCCTGCGACCCCTGCCAATTGCAGCTGAGGCTTGGAGCTCAGTCTCAATGGATTTTATCTTCGGGCTTGCACCAGATGGCCAAGACCGAACGGGTATTCTGGTCTTTGTCGACAGATTCAGCAAGATGACACATCTGGTGCCTGTTCATGCAACGATCACCGCGGCTGAGACCGCGGTGCACTTCATTGACACTGTGTTTCGCCATCACGGTCTACCAGACAACATTGTCTCGGACCGTGATCCTCGTTTTACATCTGCTTTTTGGACGTCATTGTTCGAGTTGCTTGGCACAAAGCTGCAAATGTCGACAGCAGCCCATCCGGAAACGGATGGGCAAACATAGCGAGTTAATTGGGTCTTTGAAGATGTTCTTCGAATTTACGCAACGTCCTTTACAAGTTGGAGTGCGTTTTTGCCACTCGCGGGGTTTGCACTAAACAACGCGGTTCACGCGTCAACGGGGTTGACGCCATTTTTTGCAAATTCGGCCCGTCATCCTCGTGTACCTACTCTTCTTGCCGTGGGTCAGCCCACGGCTCTTCGTGGCTCCACTCTGGCGGGGGGGGGTGATAACGATAAACATCGATCGAGTGAAGCTCACGGTATTCTGAGCGCGAATGTTGTCAACCATTCCAAGGCGAAGTCTTCTGTTTCGACGCCACGTGACGTGGCGTCCCCGCTCGCTCAATGGACTGCACAGACGCTGATCGATCCTTCTTCGAGTATGCGAAACCCTAAAGCTAACTACGCGCCGATTGAATCGGCGCGACCAATTGATGACATGGCTGTGTCAGAGTTTATACTCCAACGTCAAGCTATCACGAGGTTTGTACGCGATACTCTTCGATCTGCAGTGAATAAACAGAAAGCGAATGCAGACTAACGTGGAAGAAAGAACACGAGTACATTCAAGAAGGGTGATCGTGTATTGTTAACTACCGAAGGCCTACGAGATTCAGCAGTAACCAATCTAGGCGCGAGCAAACTCGCGCCACGTTTCATCGGACCATTCACGGTACACAAGGCGATCGGCGACGCATACACGCTGGCCATCCCTTCGTCACTGCGACTTCACCCGACGTTTTACGTCGGGCGGCTAAGGATACCGTCCAGCTACGCTTCACGGGTTGGCTCCGTCCTCGGAGGCAAAGGCTCATAGGTCGACCTTCCCTCTCGCCTTGCTCGACGCGCCAGCGACATCGGACGCGGCTGAGTCCCAGTCTGCGCGTGCCCGAGAACCTGGCGTTCCAGGTTCCGCATCCGTTCAAGCAGCTCGCGGTTCGACTGTCGAATCTCGTTCGCGGTTCTCTCAGCCCGCGCAGCTCGGTCAAGGGCAGCTTCAGCCTCCAGCTGGGCATCAACAGCCTTGTTTACAACCGCATCTACATCGTCCTGGGCAACCAGCACGCCAGCAGTAATATCGTGAGGGTCCACCACCGCTTGTGGACGCGGAAGGCCAGAAGCGCTGGATTGTGGAGCGTTTACTGGGTCACGAGGACCCTCGTCGCGAAACGACATCGTCGCGAAACGACATCGTCGCGAAACGACATCGTCGCGACACCATGAGCGCGCGGTTCCAACCGCGCGCAAGTATCGTGTACGTTGGCTCGGGTTTCCACCCGAGCAGGATACGTGGGAACCGCGCTCTTCGCTTCTTCGAGACGTTCCGGACGTTGTTCGGCCTTACGAGTCCCTGCACACGCTTGGTGCAGACTTGGTCGACGACCTGTGTGTTCTCGCGGTGAGCGAGAACGAGATGCACGACGACGGTGTCGTGGTGAAGTGTCACCACGACTACGAGACCGAGAGCGATTGCGAGAACGTCATGGTGACGTTTCACCACGACGACGAGATGAAGAGCGACGACGAGACCGTCGCGACGAGCGTGTATCGCGACGATCACGCGAACTAGAACGTCGTGGCGAGTGCATGGCACCACGACCTCGAGAACGCGAGTGGTGTCGCCAGCGTGACGCGCCACGATTAACCGCAGTCTTGCGCTCCATCAAGCTGCGCTTGTATCGTCCGATCCAGAGCTGTTCATACTCGCTGAGTGGATACTCAGCGACGTGTCGTTGCCAAGCTTCGCGAGTTGGACGAGGCATCGAGTCACAGGAATAACAAGATTCGTGCACGTGAACGTAGCAGAGTCGATCTACGTTCCATGCGTTTTCACAGATCTTCTCGCGCAGTACACCGATGGAATGATCGGCGTGGATATCTTCACGATTGGCCAGCCACTGCTGAAAGTTTCTTCCATCTTCCAGCATCCGGTTCCACCGCCGGATGAACGCACACCATGACCGCTGGAGCGACTCGTACGAGATTCCATCAAGACTCTTTCCACGCAACCCACGGAAACGCCGGAAGTAGTCCTGCATCGTTTCGAGAGAGTCCGGAGCTCGAGCTCCGGACAAGTCATACAGCGCCCAAGGGATCAGGTGCCGATCCATCACGTGGTCGACTAAACTCCCGCTGATTGTGCGCGGGAGTGCTGTGGTGTTGGCGTCTGCGTCTTCAGTCATCGTTTGGCTTGTGCGTCGTTGGGTCTTGTGGTTGAGCACTTACGGTTCGTGAGTGCTGTCTTGAGAAGGGGGTGATGTAATGGGCCACCCCGTTACATAAGTAGGTTCGATTAAGTTTACATGTTACTTAAGTAGGGGCGTTACTTTCGGAGTAGCGAAAGTAGCACGTCGTATATTTTTGCTGGTTTAATGTGCTCAGTACCATTAATAGCCAGTAAGATATAGGCACGTAGATTGAGTGGTTCCCATGAGTCCAAGGGAACCATTCGTACTTAGGATGATTTAAAGGACAAAAATATAAACAGAGTTAAAATTACTTAATACCTAAGACTTGGGCTTCAAGCTTCCTCAAAGCGTTAGAAATAGTGTACGCTAAGTACGGGTCATTCTAGCCCCGTTACAAATACTACCCACGTCACCTAATAACGACCTCGTGCTGTAGCAAAGATACTTGGCGCTCTTTAACAGAGGAAGTTTTAGACTCAAAGAGTCTCTTAGTTGCAATTGTAACGGGGTAGCCCCTTTCATGAAATTGACACCAAACGGTTTCAATAGGAAGATTGTCTAGCGTGACAATATTCTACCAATGTATCCGAGATGGATAATGTTGAAGAAATATTACCCCCTTTTAGGATAATGTTCATGCGCTGCTCAAAGATAGGTTGATAAAAGACATTTCAACCATAGATTTTCACCAATCGCTTCTAGACGCGTGCAATGAGTGTTGAGCAGGTTGTCGTCGTACGACGACGTAGTTTACTACATGAAGATAAAGATTAAAGTTATTTTGATAGTTTAACTACATAAAATTCAAATATCTTTTTACCCTTGACTCAGCTTAGTCGTTGAGTAGACTGGCCTTCTCTGCACGTACTAGTGTACGTGAAGTTTCGTGGCAACCAAACAAAGGGTGCCTTGTTACAACTGGTAGCACTTCGTAGTCCGTCCAACGACTTTTTAGTGTCCGTCCAACATGAGCATGCTGGACGTAGAAGACGACAGCTTTCACGTCACTCGTGAAGGCTAATCCCATGTGAGTGAATCAGAATGGGAGGTAGTCGGCCGCATGAGTGTGATCATGGGCGAACCCGCCATCAGTGGTATGTTGGAGTCTCTAAGCAGAGACCAGCAACATGCAACAAGTTCCTACAAGGGGAACTTGCCGTCGAACGACAGGAGATAGCCTTGCTACAGCAGCAAGTCTCTTGCGGTGAAGTGGCCAAAGGAAATCCTGACCAATCGCCTTGATCACCTCGTAAGTGCATGTGGGACCGGTCATGCCGGCCTTGGGACTGACCGCTACAGAAATCCCCACCGATAAGCTGGATGGTTTGCAAGTCATCAGTGGCGGTCACAGATCATGACCACCGGTTAGGGTCACGACGAATGACTGACCGGTCTTGGTAGCTATGGGTGACCAGTAGTCATGGTCATGATGGGTGACCAGTAGTCATGGTCACGAGGGGTGACCAGTGGTCAAGGTCACTGCACGATGACCAGCGGTCATGTTGGCAGTTAAGGTGGTTCACTTCAAGACCAGGGAATGGGTGATGGCAGGCGAACACCGTAGCAGAAAACTGAGATAAAGAGAAGTGTAAACGTAGCTCTAGCCCCTAATAGGTTAACAACGAACAGTATTGATTTCCCTACAAAAGACACGCGTCAGCGTTCCTCCGGGCTGGAATACTAGTGGCCACCCGACTTACAAGGTTTACTGTCTACATGTTTGCTCAAGGTTTGTCCCTAGATTGCTTGGCTAGGAACAAGTATACTCATTCAAGTTAGCCCGCGATCGGACGCGGGAAGCATACAAGGCAAGGTCTTCATCCGGCTCAAGTGATCAGAAGGACAAGGTGATCAAGTGGTCAGAAGAACAAGGGGGATCAAGTATCCACATTTGGGCAAGGCGACCTCAAGGAAGGTCAGGCAACTCTAGGAGAGTGCCACCAGTAACCGTTGGTCGTGTGAAGAATTACCACGCGACCCCACCCCACCTATCCTCAACTCGGTCAAGACAAGACATCAACCTCAAGACACCTAGAAGAGTGCAACCGCCCGCCGACGAGAACACAAGGTGATAAGGAACAAGACAAGACGCACGGTCCGGAGTACCCCATACGTTAGTCGGTCGTCCGGGCGCAAGTGGGGGGGGGTTCAGGATCGCTTTGTAAATGAGCGAATCTCACTCCACCACAGTGGTGCGCATGCTCGGATCTTCTGGTGGCTCGGGATTTCACTGTGAATCCCAGAGCGAAGATGTCAAGGTCAAGATTGAACCGGGGATGGAAGTGTCGGCGAAGAAGGGATCATCGCAGACACGTGATTATAAAGGCCCCTCGGTTCGGCAGAGTTGTGGGAGGGGATCGAACGAATATTTTAAGAGGAAGATCGCCAAGGTCATCTCGATAAAGAAAACCTCTTTTTTCTCCTGAGGTCCCTTCAGGGACCACCGCGGATCTTCATGCAACGTACGACCCGCTAGATAAAACACGTCCAGCCAATGTAGGACACGTTTCGTCTAAAAACAAAACCATGCACAAAGACAAAGAAAAAAGATAGAAAGCTACGGCTCCCAAGCTACGCGCGCCTGACTTCGAGGGTGATGAGCAAGAAATAAGCAGGGCAGTAGAGGTCAAAATGGAAGGTTGTAAGATTAATCAGCCGCAACGTCGTTTGCACTGGACCCAGCTTCAAGCGTTGCTATCAACGGACCCAGTGCTAACCATCTTGAAACCGGAGCTGATCGGACCGCTTCGGGGACCGACACCGACTCCACAAGCAGCCACTAGCAAGATGGAAGCAGTTCAACTCTCATTAAACTGCTACAAGGCGCAGGATTTGTGCCGGGGGCGTTTGACGCGCAGGTTCTGCTTGACTGCGACCTGGATCAAGTGATCACGGCCAGTTGATCACTATTCAAAGCGCTTGTCCCACTGAACGGCATCTATGACTCCGCTGATCGCGAGCTCACGACCAGTATCATGGCCAAAGAGGAAGACTGTTCACCAGAAACGTCGTCACATTAAGCTTCGGCGGAGTCGATTGCGTACGATAGCGACGGATTCGAAATAATGCGAATGTCGTTAGGACCTTCCGGTGCAGCACTTTTACGTGACCACCACAATCATCCGACTCCAACCACCGAATCGTTGAGACTAACCACAGAGCCAGTCGATGCTACGGATGACCCCGACCAGATGCAAATTTACTTTGCAAAGACCATGGAAAAGTTCATGCGAGACCAGCAGCGACGGCCGCCACGTTCTGAGCCGACCAGTCACCCTAACTCCAATTACAAGGTGTTCGGGGTAGGTATGCCAGACATGGACATGGAATCGGCGGACTCGCATGGTAGTCGCGGTAAAACTTTTGACTCTGACGACCTCGACATTGACGGCGTCCTTCGACCTCACTTAGCTACTACGGAAGCCATCATGGGAGAATGATTTGCTGCGCACCGGATTCGCATGTCTGCGATCGCCGATCTAAAGGAGCTCTCAGGTCGCGGTCACGATGATGACCGCGCTCGAAGCTGGGTGCGAAAGGTCAAATCAGCTTTCTTGCGTGACCAAGCCCCCAATTCGGATAAATGTATGGTTTTTGGAGATTTGCTAACAGGCTCAGCACGAAACCGATACCCCCAGCTAATCCGATCGACACGGAACAAGTAAAAAGACTTGCTGGAGGGTTTTCTACTACAATACTGTGGACGCAGCATCTCTGCTGGTCGCCAGTATTATCACGCCTGCAAGCGTGCCGATGAAACTCCGCTAGAATACCTGAATCGGTTGAATGTTGCTAGGATGCGAGAAAAAATTCACGTGAAGGACGGGAATGTCGCTGATCGCCGAAAATAAGCGGAACACTATATCGAGACACTGGATGACCACGATCTCGCAAAGCAATTGACTTGCCGTGTTTGGACGACGTGGATACGCTGAAGCTAACGCTGCACACATACGGATGTTTGCAAAAGAGCAAAGGCAATCTCCCGATCAGTTCAGGCAAGTTCCGCTCACGATCAGCGTCGCCATACTCTCCAAGTCCATTTAAACCGGCTCGAGCTGTGCGTGCAATCCATGTGGGGGGCGAGAGCAGTTCGTCGAAATCAGATACAAGCAGTGCGGAATCAGACGAAGAACAACGACGTGTTTACAGCGCCACAGCAGCCGACCATACGAAGGACCGGGGAAACGATCTTCCGACCAAGCCAAGATCGAATGACCGTGAACGTGATCACGATCGTGCAGAAGGGCACAAGTCGTGCACTCATTGTGGGTCCAAAAGACATGATGACAGGGGATGCTGGAAACGCCTGACTTGTCCAAAATGCGGGCGCCGAGGTCACCCCTTCGACAAGTGTTTCTACGGATGCGCAGCGTGTCAAGAAGTGCACGGGGGGATGCAACTCTCCGATGGAAAAGTTTTGCAATATGCTTCGCAAGTGGTACGTGCCGACCAAACACGCCATAAATGCTTCCTCCCGACGCTGAAAATATGTTAAACTAGGACGCTTGCCAGGTTGGGACCTGGTACGAGCCGAGCGTTCTAGGCTATGCATATATGCATTCATTAAGAAAGGAGAGGTCGATATCAGTTTTGATCGCCTGACCGGCCGGAATTTCAGAACATGTGACTGGACTCTAGTTCTTTTCCATCAATTGCAAGTTTGCGGCGACCGGATGAATACGCACGATCACCTACAAAGATGAAACTCAAGTTGTCTCCTGTCGAATCACGTGGTTACTGGAAGTACCATACTCCAAACAAGTGGTTCAGGCAAGCCAAGGTGGGGTGAAAATTTAACAATGAGAAGGCCACCCTATTGATTGACTCGGGAGCTGAAGTCTCCATCCTCGACACCACCTTTGCTCGTAAGGTTGGCTGTGTCATAGATAAGAGTCAGAAGCAAGAATGCGTGGGTATCCGAGAAAGTTTTTACATGGCAGAAGGCCGCACAAAGGTGAAGATCACGCTGGATGGCTCATTGGTTTACTACTTTGATGTATGGGTGGGTGACCAAGTGGGACAAGAAGAAATTTTAGGGACAAATTTCATGGTACCGGCTGGAATACGCCTTGACCTGGCAGGCGGAACAGTGTGCTTGCCGGACGAAGTCAGAATTCAACTGGAAGGTAGGAGATCACATTATGGGGCGAAGATACAACGAATCGCTGCGGATGATAAGTATTTGGCGGTACCGGTGGGTGACTCAGTGGAGGTCAATGTTGGTCGGGGACCACTGCAGTCAAAATTGTGGTAAACGCGCCACGCACGTTGGGCACCCACGGCTATGACCGGACCCGGAAGACTTACACACCTCCGCCTAACCAATTTAACCGATCAAGAGGTGATTATCCAACAGGGGACGCCGTTCGGGCAATGGATGCCGGCGGACATGATACCACGGTCACTCAGGTATGTGTTGGTAGGGTCACGTCGTTATCAGGAGTGGTGAACACTTGCCTACGAATCTTCTACAGATAAAGATGAAGCAGAAGAAGTACCGGAAGCAGAAGGGCCGTTGGTCAAACGCCAGTCTTACCCAACACCAACGCAGATTCTAAAACGACCCCCACCAGGATACGGTAGAGATGACCGCGCGGAGAGAGGAAGAGGAATGGGAAAACAGTGTGCCGACATGTGACCAGGTGGATAACCAGGAGGATCAAGAAGGACCACAACCAAAACGATCGACAGTAGCTATTAACGCGATCACCACACGTGATACGGGTTGTGATTCGGTACATAATCGGCAGGAACAAACTAATAAGCCCAGAGAGAAATGTCTACGCGATCACCAACGTCCGCCGACTTAATCAACCCTATTGATGCGATGAATGATATGACCTTGGTGCACAAGCAGTCCGAAACGCACTCACACGAGTGTAAAGAGAAGCTCACTCCCGAATCGATAAAGGATATGGTACCTGATCGTATGCAAAACAGTCCCCTGATTCCCCAGATGGAATTACTGTTGGAGATGGGGAGGTGTATCGACCGCCCGACCATCTGGGAGAACAAGAAGCAGCGGTCACCGGTGAAGAAGAACCGGAGTGCACATCATACCAACAATCAGGTGGAGCGTTATTCGCGGAAGATGTTGGCCAACACATGGCAGTCTTACCGGAGGTGGACATGACGCTATGCGAGATGAAGATTGAGGATGTACAGGTGGGCGAACCAGGGGTTCCATTGACGAAAGAGCAAAAAGAATTAAGCCAGCTGATCTGGAAGAAAAGACATCTGTTGATGGGCAAGGGAAACGCCCTCCCATTTGCGGCTCGTGGCGTGATATATGACATAGATGTGGGAGGGGCGACCCCAATAGCACAACGAGTGAGGCCTGTCGCCTCAAGGTTCCGTAAAAAGTTGGCGGACCTGATTAAAGGGTCACTATCGGCGAATATTATATGTCCCTCAACCTCGCCGTGGGCATCGCCGATCGTAGTGATCGTAAAAAAGAATGGGGTAGATATACGACTATGTATATATTACCGATGAGTCAACCAATTGACGAGGCTGATGGTAGATACCATGCCCTTGATCAACGACCTACTACAGGAACTGGACAAAGCGCTTTAGTACTGTTCATTGGATATGGCCAGCGGATTCTGGGTTGTGAAAATGACGGAGAGAGCACGAATGATTTCTGCTGTTATTGCGCCCTCAGGTCTGTATGAATGGCTACGTATGCCGTTCGGGTTGAACAACGTGCAGCAGATATACCAGCGTATGGTGGATAATGCATTGTACGGGTATCTCACGATCGGCGAACAGCGGAGATCAAGTGGTCGCGAGGTGTCACAACCTGTCGATGTGTTCACGCACGGCGAGCCAGACCCGCACCGAAAGCCTTCGGTGTTGGGGCGGAGGTCCTACATTGATGACATTCTGATCCCGGCGGCGTCCTGGACATCCCTTCATCAAAAGGTAAATCGACTGTTGGAATTCTGTGACCAGTGGAATTTGTCAATCAGTTTACCTAAGAGTGTGTGGGGACGAAGCAAGGATAAGTATCTCGGGCACTAGGTGTCGATATCAGGAATAGAAGCCGATCCGAAGGATTTGGGGTCGTTGGTCAACATTCCATTTCCCCAAACATTGCGATCAATGCAGTCCTTTATGGGAAGCTTGATTAACTACTGCCGGTTCATTGAAGATTTCGCCACATACGCCTTAGTCCTGTATGAATTGAGAGAGGTGGACTTTACGAGATTATGCTATTGGACAACTCGGACGATGACCATGGCCAGAGGCTGGTGGGTAACTGTGATCAACAAATGATAAAGATGGATGGTCATGACCAACCGAAAACAGAGGGGTCTAATGGCGAACATACAAGCGGTTATCGTTGGGAACAAGCTATGATCGCGTTCACAATGCTGAAAGCAAAAATTGCCTAGACCCCGGTGCTAAGACATTTTGACCCTGATCGTCGGCCAGTGAAAGTGGTCCATGCCAGCAAATGGGCGGTATCCGCAGCTTTGTTGCAGGAACACGACGGAGTGAATTGGCCTGTTATGTTCACAAGTCGCACGTTAGAACTGCATGAAATCAACTACGGTGTGGTGGAGAAAGAAGTCCTGGCCCTGCTCCGGATATTAGATGTTTTTTATACACTAATAGTTTCGCAGGACCTTAAGGTGCTCACACGGTATTCAACTTTGGCGTGGTTGATGCAATCATCGGGCCTTACCGGGAAACTTTCAAAATGGGCAGCTTTACTGTCAATTTAGACTGGAGATTAACAGATGCAACAAAGAAGAGGACGAAATTCTTGGCACTCTTTCCGCAAGTATCACACCACGGGAGGATGTAAATGATGTGCTGATCGCGATCGCGCCCCGAAAGCAACCGAGACAGATCATCAGCATGCCGCCCCTACGGTCAGCCGCGAAGAATCGCTTCTTTTGTCAGCTTTGATGAAGCATCCCGTATTAAGAATAAAGGGGGCGCCTACAGTGCAATAATATGGAAACTTCCCGAGTGGACTATAGTATTGGCTGCGTCGCGATTCGACACTGGGTTGACCGTGAACGAGGCAGAGTACTATGGGTTGCTGCTGAGATGCGAGTTGTTGGCCAAGCAGACAAGGGGGTGAATGGTCATTTGTGGGGATTCCAACCTGGTCATCAAGCAGATGAGGGGTGAAATTGACTGCAAGGCACCGGGACTGCAGTTACTACGTCTCAAGGCCCTAGATCAACTGCGATAATGGGCGACTCATAAATTCTTGCATGTTAAGCGCGATAGGAATCAAAGTACGATAGACAGGCTAGCTCCGCTTAACAGCTGGAAAAAGGCATGGTCAGACTAACGGAGCAGGGTTGCCATGATTTACAAGCGATGAAACGATTGGACGAGATATCAAAACCAGCGACCAACAATCAAGTGGCCAAGAAACCGGCGATCACACGATCAGCCATACGGAGGCGTGAAGTGCCCACGATTATGCAAGAGGATAAATACAGCAGATGAGACTGAATCGCATAAAGCAAGCACAAGATGAAGAAATTTGGATCAACAAATTGAAACTTTACCTCGTCGGGGATGTTACCGAATCAGAATCTACGGAAGCAAAAGCAAGTGCGGTAATTGCCCCAGATTACGTAGTGGATGAAGGCGGATTGTTGTATTTTTTCCCACGGGCGGCAGTAAACCCCAGTGACCGCGCGGAGCTCGTCCGTTTGGTGGTTCCGGAATTACTGCAAGATGGTGTCCTACACCACTACCATGCAAGTCTGGAAGGTGGTCACCAAGGGGTAGGCCAAACGTATCACCGCGTGCGATCGCACTATCATTGGAGAGGCTTGTTTAGAAGCGTGTAGCAGTATGTGGGGAAGTGTGTCGACTGCGAAACCGGGAAAAAAGTCCGATCCTACGAGGCAAATCCCCAGGAAATTTACAGGCCACGTACCCGCTTCAGATCATTGCAATGGATCATATCCCCTCGTTACCCAGGTCATTCATATGGAATACCGAACTGTTGCTTTGGGTGGATTTGTTTTCTGGCTACGTGATCGCTAAAGCTAGCTCGTCAAGAACTGCCCAGACGATCGCGGAAGGGTATGAAGAATGTGTCTTCCGGCGGTCTGGGGCAAGTGAATCTATTCTTCACGACAGCAAACCCGGATTCACGTCGGATTTCTTTCGCGCGTTCATCCGCATCGCTGGTCAGAAACATCGTGCCACAATGGTGTATCGGCCTCAAGCCATTGGTACAGCGGAACGTATGGTCCAAACATTGACCAGGGAGCTAAAAATGTATGTCACGGATGTGAACCAACAAGATTGGGACGAATACGCTGAACGCCTGACCTTCGCCATCAATACGGCCCATGACCGAGCACGAGGTGATACCCCGTTCTATCTTATCCATGGTTGGGAGTCCGCGATCAACGCTTGAAGCGACCCTGCCGTTGGGATGTACTAAAATACGTGATCGGGATCCTCGAAGATGGCGCTATCACATACGGCGGCAATATCAACGAGCCCGCGCTACGGTGAATGACCAACTGAAGGATGCCATTCAAGAATAAGCTGACCAACACAACTTTGATCAAGGGCCAAATGGAATCAGCCGCGATAGCCAAGCGTGGCTATGTTTGGATCGATTGAAGGAGGGATATGCCAGGATGCTGGATCACATGTGGCACGGCCCGTTTCAGGTTATCGAGAAGTGCGAGGAACAAGCAGTGCGGTTGGAGGTACAAGGGACTTCATATAGATTATTCCCACTTGTTCACGTATCCAAGCTGAAGCTAGTACGGATTTTCCCTGATCGACCTGCTGCGCGGCTGGAGGTGGGAGAAACAGAGCGTGTTGATTTTGACGAAGCTCTGCTTCCAGAGGACAGATGGGAAAACGATCTAGCCCAAGGAGAATACGAGATGGATAGTATCCGAGATGTGAGAACAGGACGAAAACTCGGTACGGAAGAGTACAACGACAGTTTCTGGTCCGATGGAAGGATCATAAGGATGAGACTTGGATGGATGAGGCAAATCTTAATTGTGGTGCTTTATTAAAAGAGTTTAAACGTGATCAAGCTAGGCAAAAACGTTTCGAAGTGATGCAAGTTCACGAGGAAGAATCCATATGTTAGTGTGACTAGGGACGGTAACCGCGGTCTTGAAGCATGGGGATCATATGGTCTGTGAAAGAACGAGGGATGACCACGTTAATTATGAATGTGAAGGAGTGATGTGGTCAACTAACATGTGATCAAATAGTTAAGATTACTAAGAGTGGTGACCGCGGCCACGAAACACTGTGACCGCCTGGTCTGTGAAAGGAGGAGGAATGACTACGTAAGCTATGGATGTAAAGGGGTTGCATGGTCAACCAAAGCGGTGTACACAGAAGCAATAAAACATGGTGAATAGACTTCAATAGAAGTGAATTAAAAAAAGCAGCGACTGGTGGTCATGACTGTGACCATAAACGTCATGGTCTCTCACGCTGGAGACGTCCTTTCACTGCGCTACAAACTTGATCCGGAGACGGTCGATGGACGAGCCTGGGTAGTCAGCAATGGCTGCCCGATATTGATTGCGGCACCGGTAAGCGGAATCCACAAAAAGTAAGGCTGAGGCCAGATCCGGGGTGTTGGTCTGTCGACAGCAAAACCCTGGATACCATTAACATTTCTAAAACCGTCCTGGAAAGCGCAGAAAGAAGGGGTCCAACAGGATGTCGAGGTCACACTGACCCCCGACCAACCCTTACAACACGATCTGGAGTACAGCCTTCCACCGGGGGCTGTACCTAGAACGCCGACGACGCCTTTCTTCATAAAAGACGCTCAATCCAGGTTCTTTCGCGCGACTTGGACCCACGATGATCGGGAGCACATGAGTAGACTCCCATAACGCCTGACGATGATGGTCTTCGAACATACGACACGCGGTCATCAAAGCTTGGAACCAGCCAGTCGGGCAGAATGACATAGGCGCAATAGGTCGATCCAAGACGTCCCAAGGTTTTTGGCTGTATAGAGCAGCAATCTGGACGGAGGTCACTGCTTTCTGTCTTTAAGAAGCAGCGATCTGGGCGGAGGTCACGTGCGGGGACCACTAAGCTTCAGTTGGCGAACGCAGGGAACCGTCCGGAACGGGGAACAGGTAGTTCTTGGGCTGGGAGTAGTGGTGGAACAAGAGATCCAAGTCCAGGTGACCTACAGTGACCAAGCCCAAGCGATGGGATGACCACGGCGAAAACTAGCCAGGGGCATAAGTTGCACGAATGCGATACCCAGGTATCCACTTATCGCGCGAGGACCGCACGGGGGGGGGGTAAAGCCTTGAAGGCGGTCGGGTTTAAGAGCTTGTTTACTGGGGCTTGACCGTAGCTTGGTACCCTCACCGACCCAGCGGAATCGTCGGACGCCCTGGGTGGCTCTGCGGTCGAAGGTGCCGCTGCGATGGGCGGCGACCGGGAGACGTCCGATGAAGTACGAGTATCACGTCTTGCCGGAGCCGAACGAGGCGCGGGTGCATGACTGGCTGGATCGATCTCGATCGGCGTATCAGCTAAAACATCAGCCGATCTTGTGGTCGAGGCAGAAGACTGCCTTCGACTGGAAGAACGTGACCGTGACAGTGCGATGAGCATGGCCTCGTCAGCAGATTTTAAGAAGCCGTCGCTATCCTGCGCATGGGATGCGGAGGGGAAACGCTCTCGTGTTTGCGTCTGTGACCGCCGAGACATAACAGACGGTGGCGTGGTCACGGTCTTGGGCTTGGGCTTGGACGATTTTCTGGCCGTACATTCTGGAATCTTGGGGACGTCGAGGCGAGGGCGAGACGCCTGCCGGGACTTAAGGTGAGTGGGTACCGATCGTGAATGGGTAGTTGGTCCGGCGGGCCCTGCGACCGTAGAGGAAGGGCTGGCATGCGAATCCGGTCCGACCGCAACGCGAGGATGACGGGGGGAATTTGAAGCGGATCGCTGTTGGGTCACATGGTCTACGGGCGGGACCACAGCAGATGGGGACATAAAAGCTGAACTCGAGGTGACCGTTACGCGCGCACGCTTGTTCGAGGGTGACACATGATCGGCCGCTGACTGCTATCTCCACCGCTCATCATAAGTGAGCCCTACCGACGGCAAAAGTTCCATAATTAAGTTGACCAGATGATTGAGCTGGACCTGGCGGTCGCGAGTAAGCAGATCCCGTTCTGCTCTCAACAGTGCTAATTCCTCGATATGAGCAGCATTGGAGGTGCGCAAGCGGTGAAGATCTCAATGGCTTGAAAGCGCGCTTCTTTATAATTGGTCAAGCTCCCGACCACGTTGTGCAAAGCTGCGACCAACCGCATCGAAACCTATCCGCAGTGGAGCAACAAGCTGCTCACTTTCCGCTACCGCTCGCCTTAAGTCTTCCCACTCCTTAGCTAACTGGTCAACCTCGGTCGTGTCCACGTCATGCACTTGGTCACCGCCCCCAGTCAGCATCTGTAGGATCAGAATCGGCAGAAGAGGCATCGTCCGCCGGGGTGTCATCAGATCCAACCAAAAAGTCAACAGGGTCGGCGATGTGGTCAGCCGGAGCGGGATCGGCTTGGTCAGGCTCGGTCGCGTCTGGTTCAACTCCAGTGTAATATTCGTCATCAGGAGCAGAGGTGGCCGACCGCAGTAGAGTCAGCTGAGGAGACGTCATAACTAAAAGCAGGGGTCGTCTAACGGACTGTTGAGATGGCGGTGACATCTCCAGCAAGGATCAAGGTAAGCAGATCAAAAAGTGCTCAACGAGATCGGCACCGGCTGCCGACTAACAGAGCAGGGGACGACTGTGGTGAAGTGGCCAAAGGAAATCCTGACCAATTGCCTTGATCACCTCGTAAGTGCATGTGAGACCGGTCATGCCGGCCTTGGGACTGACCTCTACAGAAATCCCCACCGATAAGCTGGACGGTTTGCAAGTCATCAGTGGCGGTCACAGATCATGACCACCGGTTAGGGTCACGACGAATGACTGACCGGTCTTGGTAACTATGGGTGACCAGTAGTCATGGTCACGAGGGGTGACCAGTGGTCAAGGTCACTGCACGATGACCAGCGGTCATGTTGGCAGTTAAGGTGGTTCACTTCAAGACCAGGGAATGGGTGATGGCAGGCGAACACCGTAGCAGAAAACTGAGATAAAGAGAAGTGTAAACGTAGCTCTAGCCCCTAATAGGTTAACAACGAACAGTATTGATTTCCCTACAAAAGATACGCTTCAGCGTTCCTCCGGGCTGGAATACTAGTGGCCACCCGACTTACAAGGTTTACTGTCTACATGTTTGCTCAAGGTTTGTCCCTAGATTGCTTGGCTAGGAACAAGTATACTCATTCAAGTTAGCCCGCGATCGGACGCGGGAAGCATACAAGGCAAGGTCTTCATCCGGCTCAAGTGATCAGAAGGACAAGGTGATCAAGTGGTCAGAAGAACAAGGGGGATAAAGTATCCACATTTGGGCAAGGCGACCTCAAGGAAGGTCAGGCAACTCTAGGAGAGTGCCACCAGTAACCGTTGGTCGTGTGAAGAATTACCACGCGACCACACCCCACCTATCCTCAACTCGGTCAAGACAAGACATCAACCTCAAGACACCTAGAAGAGTGCAACCGCCCGCCGACGAGTACACAAGGTGATAAGGAACAAGACAAGACGCACGGTCCGGAGTACCCTCTACGTTAGTCGGTCGTCCGGACGCAAGTGGGGGGGGGGTTCAGGATCGCTACGAAAATGAGCGAATCTCACTCCACCACACAATCCCTGTACTCACGGTCGAAGAGGTCGTTTGCCGACGGCCCTTCTTCGAACGCAGTAGGCGGGTCTCGTCATACTGCTTGACGAGACCCAGGACACCTACTGTCAGCTTGGCACGAGGCATTCAGCTGCCCCACGCCGGTGATTAGCCACGCCAGCGGACGAGGTCACTCGTCCGGGCTCCATTCATATCATATCGCGGTGATTCAAAATACGCTCCACTAGAAAGGGTTGACCACCGCCAGAATCCACCAAAGGATGCAATGGTAGTGGGAACACCTGATCCGGCTCGAGGGTCGGATCATCTGATGTTCAAAAGTTGAACCGTACACCGGAACATTTACACGATGACCTGTCTAATAAACGGACTCGGTGTTATGAGCTTCATGACCTTTAAGGGGATAAATACAATTCCCTAACGCACTTTCGTTCGAACGATCGTGCCGTGTTGGCGTTTGCGCAACTTGAGAACGAAAGCTCGACTCCTTCTCTTTGTGACGAGATGGACGCAGCTCGTCAAGACATCGCTCAACTGGTTGAGCCGGTGGCTTCGCTATTCGACCAGACTGGCTCGTTGAAACAGGACCACTCGAAGGTGGTCTCGGCTCTTTACCGCGGAGGTATTCTTCGCCTCTCGAAACGGGCTCGTACTGATAGTACGGGAGGAGACGTCCAGCGTAAAGCGTAGGATGCGTTTGCATCCTACGAGGCAGTTCAATCGTGTATGCGTTGCCCATGCAGCGCAACACACGAAGTGGACCGATATGCTTAGGCAGTACTTTACTGCTGCCCACGTTTTTCACCGCGTGTTTTGGTAGATTTACTGTTGACAGTATCTTAAGTCTACTTTATTAAATCAAAGAACATTCGCTCTTCCATCTTTTTCTGCTTTGTTTCCAGTTTATCTATTGCATCTGCAATAGAGTCTTGAACGAAGCAGACAACCGCTTCGCGAGTCAGCAGAGATCCTTTTGCTGATTCATCCTTGTCAACAGCAGTGCTCTTCGTGTGCACTGCTGAGAGAACGTTGTCTTCAACAGTGAGGGCGTCATCGTCCTCACTGTGGCAGTCGTTGGCGATGCTCATTCTACCATCATCATCGATGTCCATTGATCGACATCGGCATTTATCACGTCGACAACATTGTCGACATGTGATGAGCAAGAACCAGATCAATTTTTGTTCGATCGATTCCACCCCCCCTTAAACTAGAGTCACACTCTAAGGATGAGGGTAAACGTGGATGGTGTAGGCCATTCTAGAAGGACAATGTATGCGTTGTCGACGCGTGCACCGAGTTGTTGATGGTGAATTCCGCCATCGGCAAGAACTCACTCCAGCTCGTAAACGAGTGAACATACCCTCGAAGTATCTCTTCGAGGACGCGGTTGAAGCGTTCCATCTGATTATTTGTTTTTGGATGGTCAGAAGTCGACATCTTCAACCATGTTCCAAGTGAACAAAACACAAATTGCCAGAACTCCGCTGTGAAGCGGAGATCCCTATCAGACTCAAAATCAAGGGTTAACCCGTAAAGTCGGAAGATAGTATCGATGAAGACACGAGCACAACCAAGGGATGTGATGAAATCCGGTACAGCAACAAGATAAATCATCTAGCTGAACCGATCAACAAACACAAGAATACCAGTATTCTTGTGAACGTCTTTAGGAAACACAAAGACGAAGTCCGTCGATACGGACTGCCAACACTCTGATGGAAATGGTAGAAGCTGCAAGGGTGCGCGGGATGAAGGAATAGGCTTCACCCGTTGACAAACTTCACAAGCGCGGATGCATTTGCGCACAAACTCACACTGGCGGGGCTAGTAGGAGTCACGAATTACCGTGAGTAAGACTTTTCTCTACCGCGATGCTCACTTGTTGGGGCATCGTGGCACTCATACATAATTCGCAACCGCAATTCATTATGAGCCGGAACGACGACACGAGGTGTGTCGCCGTTGACTGCTGTATAGCACGGTAGTCCATCACGAACCGGATACCGTTCGGTCGAAGGTATTGGGACGACAAGCTGTTCAAAGCTTGACTGCATGGATTGTATACGTGATCTATCAATTGCAGAAGAGACTCATCCTCTGTGTATGCTTTTCGCACGTCGTCGAGCAGATTTGACGACGGAACACTCACTGTTAGTTTCGCGACAGTGGGATCACCTCTAATGTTGGGTTGAGCAGTCGGCTCAAAATCGGGCCGACGCGAAAGAGCATCAGCGACGACATTAAGTCGTCCTGGTTTACACTCGACAGAGAAGTTTTACTCCGCGAAGAAAGACAGCCACCTCGCCATTCGTTGCGGGATGTGTGGACTGTTTGCGGCCGTTCTTAACGACGCATGGTCGGCATAACTGATGAAGGACCTATGCCCTAAGAGATATACCCAAAACTTAGTCAGTGTATATTTCGTCGCAAGGAGTTCCTTGTCATGCCCCGGGTAATTACACTCAGCTGCTTGCAGCTGAAGCGATTGATAACAGACGACGCGCTCAACGTCGTCTGAGTCGTAATGAATTAACGCGCAACCGATCGCAAAGTCGCTGGCGTCACAGACCACATATAACGGTATGTCCTGGTATGCAATCGTCAACTCAGGCGATCGTATCAAGCTTTTTTTGATACCTTCAAAGGAGTGCTGACACTCAGCACTCCATGACCACCTTTTGTGTGTCTTTAACAGACGAGAGAGATGTACGGTCATCTCGGCGTAGTTGCGCGAGTACTTGTGCAAGTACACCGCCAAGCCAAGGAACTTTCGAAGCCCCATGAGGTCGACTTGCACGGGCCAGTCGCTAATCGCCAGGATCGCTTCCGGATCAGGGCGTACGCCGTTTTTTACCCTCGGTGCAGCCAAGAAGTGGTATGTCGCTCTCTGCAAAGATACACTTCTTGAGATTCGCGAACAACTTATGCTCTCTCATAAGTGTAAGGAACTTCCTGAAGTGGAATCGACAAACCTCCACGTCCGTCTTTCCATGCATAGCCCGGCTATTGACAAAGACATCGTCAAAATAACTCGGTGCGAAGTCTGGCACCGATCGCAACAGATTCGTAACACGTCTGTTGAACGTTTCAGGGGCGTTAGTTAGTCCCTGTGGCATCACTAGCCACTCCCAGAGCATACCACTGGGGTGCACACTGCTGTGTACGAGATGTCATGTTCTCACATGAGTATCTGATAGAATTTATCCATCAGATCCATGGACTAAAAGATGGTACTTTTTGCCATACCATCTATGATGACGCCCTTCCTCGGTATCGGCGTCAGGACCGGCACCGTCGCAGCGTTCAATTCGTTGAACGCGTGCACTATCCGCTACCCTCCTGTGGCCTTTCTCACACAGAAGGTAGGAGAGCTGTGCGGGAATGTTGATTCCCTCACGTGACCAGCCGCTAAGCGATTGGCAAAGAATTTGTTGATCGCTGTGACCTGTTCAACAGACAGTGGTCATTACTTCATGACACAGTACTTCGAACCGGGATTCAGCTCGATCTCATGCCGAGTGCCTTTGTGCTTAGGCAGCTCGAATGGCACGGATTCAGGGAAAACATCCCTGAATCCGATCAATTCCTTTTACAAAGGATTTGTCTTCAAAGACTCCCAAGATTGAGACGTGTATCGTTCAATCCGAGTCTTCTCATCGAGGACACTCTCGTCCATAGATGAGATGCTGAGAACTCGTTCGTTCTCAGCAAACACTTGTGCCGACCGAATATCGGCGACTTGCTCGTCCTCCGTGACGAGTACGCAGATCTACTTGATCTTGTCACTACGCAGATCTCGCAAGAATCTTTTTGATTCTAGCGTTGGCAACTTGATTACCTCCGAAGCTGACCTTGGACGTGTTACCAGGTCAAGAGTATAAAAGCCTACACTTGATCCGTCATTCACCAAAACATTCACTGTCTCGGTAAATTCCTGGGAAAAACACATTCGCAGGTGGCTGGGGATCCACGCCCTCCACATAACTACCTCGGGAGTTATCACTCTCAGGAGCGCTGGAACTTTCTTCCAATTCGTGTACTGACTGTGGGTGTACTACCACTTTCACGTCCTCTTCGATCGACTCTCTTTCAGTCGATCGGGCTTGTTCAACGATCTACTCTCTGATAGTAGATCTCGCTTTAACGTGTTGTTCATCCTGAACAGCACTAATCTCTCTTCTTGGATGCACCCTTCTTGGTGTGCATCCGTGTTTCAGTCCACTCGATCTCTTCGAGTGGTGAACCTTCGGCGCTGCCTGTGTCTCTACACAGGTGCCGGAAGCTGGTTCTACAGTGCAGTGGCCTTCTACACTGTGATCTTGTGTAATCGTACTAATGACCATACCACAAGTGAGGCCATAGCATTCACTCGTAGTACATCCACACGATTGTGGACGCTCCAAGACGTTCATCAGGTGTCCATCTTATGAACAAACAGCAGGCATCTTCACGGATCGATGCTGCCAGCTGATCCATGGCTGGTATTTTTCTAAGTCATTGTTAGACCGAAGATGACATCAAATTTGTCATCCAAATCCAGCACGATGAAGTCATCATCGTACCGTCTTTCTTTTAGCGTGTAGTGGATTCCCACTACACGTTTCTTCACTGTTATGGATGCGCCTGTAGCAAGGCACACCGTCATCCTCGTTGGAGGGATACCTCGCTAAACATAGTTGAGCCTACTATCCTCTAGCGACTGGCTTCGAATAAAACTGTTAGACGCCCCACAGTCAACTAGGGCGCGAAGTGACATTCCACTTTTCACTTCGATCTTCAAAGTGATGAGGGACACCTCATCACTAGGGGCAGTAACACACAGCGACGGTGTGTTGGGAGCAATCTTCGTCACGAGTCCTGCAAATTCTCTTGACGTTGCTGAATCAGCAGAGTGCTCCGCCCCTACTGACCCTGACCGTTCGTTTGACATTCCGACTTGCTGTCGCTGCTTAGCGACATGGTCGAGCCCACGCCTCGGACCCTTCCTTGGCCAACGGTGGTCACCATGTCCTGTCTTTGGACGTGTTGCAGTGCTCGGGACACTACACCCATGAGCTTAGTGTCTAATCTTCTGATAGCGATGGCATCCTGCCGTTCGCTTGTCACTCAGAGAGCAAGAGTTCTCGCTCTCGATGTAACAGAGGTCTATTGGTTTGGGACCTCCTGTTTCCCGTCGTCTCGTCGGACGATAGTTTGACGAGTTATCCTGAGACTGTCTCAGACTGAAGTCTTCTAGTTACGCATACGCTATAGCCTTTTCCAGCGTATAGATGTCCTCTCGAAACATGTAGGTCTTCACCGGCCCATCCACAAGGCCGTAGATGAACACCTTGATGAGCGTGTGCTCATCAACAGGGTTTTCCGTGAAGCTACTCGCAAGATAGCGGAGGTTTTGTGCGTAAGCGTGCACATCACGCTTACCTTTTTTGAGCTTCAGGAGTGCAGAGCGTGCTCCGAACTCGGCTCTCGGTGGCCCAAACGTCTCTTTAAGCCGAGACTTCAAGATCTCCAATGACTCAAACATTTTTGGGTCTTGAAGCTCGAGCCCTAAGGCCCAAGTCTTTGCTCGTCCTATCAAATTTGACAGGGCGAAGGTGACTTGCATCTCGTCACTCTCGATGTGACGGGCCCTGATGGCATCGTCTAAATCGACGAACCATATCGAAAGGGAATCTTCATCGGTTCCTTTGTACCTTGAGATATCAATCTTCAAGGTTTCGGGTCGACACGTGTGCGTCTGCCCGCCCATCGACTGATGAGAGCCTTGCTGTTGTAGCAAGACTACCTTCTGCCTTTCGACGGCAAGTTCCCCTTGTAGGAATTTGTTGATTGCAGCATGTTGCTGGTCTCTGCTTAGAAACTCCAACATGCCACTGATGGCGGGTTCGCCCATGTGCACACTCATGCGGCCGATTACCTCCCATTCTGAGTCACTCAAATCGGAGTAGCCTTCACGTGTGACGTGAAAGCTGTCGTCTTCTACATCCAACATGTTCATGTTGGACGGACACTAAGTAGTCGTCGGACGGACTACAAAGTGCTACCAGGTGTAACGGGGCACCCTTTGTTCGGGTTACCACGAAACTTCACGTACACTAGTACGTGCAGAGGAAGCTAATCTACTTAAACGACTTGTTTAAGTGAGGGTAAAAAGAGAGCTGTATTTAATACAGTTAAGCTATCAATATAACCTTAATCTTTATCTAACTATTTTAAACTACGTCGTCGTATGACGACAACCTGCTCACCACTCATTGCGCGCGTCTAGCAGCGGCTGGTGGTAATCTATGGTTGAAATGTCTTATTTCAATCAATCTTTGAGCAGCACGTGAATAATATCATAAAGGGATAATATTCCTTCAATGTTACCTGTCTCGGATAATATTGGTAGAATATTGTCACGCTAGACAATATCTCTATTGACACCGTTTGGTGTCAATTTCATGTAACGGGCTACCCCGTTACAGTGTAGGTACCAACGACATTGAAATGGAGGTCAGAGTAAGGGTAGATGATGCGACTGCAGCTGTTGAGGCGTACCTCATTGGAATTGTGCCAGTTGTACTGATCACGTTAGTTTGCGTGACCACGAGCTGAGTGCTACGCAAAAAAACGTAGCTTTTCGTGGTGCCAACTGTAAATGGTTCCTTTATCAAAGGCTTCCCTGACTTTTGCTTCTAGTTTAGTTGCTATCCGTGTGCATCTTTGTTCTGGGTGCAACACAAACGAATGCGCAAGTCACCCTTTTGATTCTGATGTAAACATGGCAAGAGATTCTCAGCTTTATGGTCATCAATTTATTAGCTTAGCACGGCCTCAAGGAGCGACTGTGTTGCTTCAGCAGCTTCGCGTACGTCCGGGTCAGGCTCTGTTTCGGCAAGAGCAAGAGGACGAACGATCTCCAGAGCGCTCTCTGTCGTGCTTGGATCGTTCAGTCTTGGAACAATAAGTCCAAGAGTGCGCAGTGCGCGGAAACGGACATTCGCGGTCTTGGACGTGCACTGCTCCACCACAGTCTCAGCTACGGTACTCAATTTATCCATCTGCTGTAGCTCTCTCGCAAGAAGCTCGACCGCCATCAAGCCGGTCAGCCGTCCATGAAACGTGGACCGCAGGCACACCGACACGCGAGGTACGCACCTTTCTGCCACCCATTCACTACCTAATGACTTCCCTAACGAAGGAAGTTTTTCGCACACCACTGCACGCACTTCGTAAACCGCATCACTCAGTAACTCCAAGCATGCATCAGCAAAGACACCAGGAAGTGCTGCTCCATCGTCACGCTCAGCCCACGCGGCCACACAATGAACAAACTTGAGACGCACTCGCCACTGTACCGAGGTAAGCAGGGCCTGTATAGCCGGAAGAATCATAGCCATGACACTTTCTGATGAGCAGTCGCAGTACCGCGCCATCTCCTCCAGCAGCGACGCACGCACCGAGGCATCTTGGCTTTCATCCAAGAACTGAGTGAAAAACGGGAACAGCTCATCGTAGTAGCTACTGCCAATGAACTGCAATGAACGGCCTATAGACTGAGCCAGTGCCAGTCTTACAGCCACGGATACGTCTGTTGCAAGAGTGTATGTAGCAGGCAGAACACTGCGCACAAACTTGACTTGAGCAGCAGTCACAGATGACTCCACGTCCGAAGTCACACCGTCCGACTCGCTCGCTTTGTCTTGCCCTGCTATTATGTCTTTTGCCTGCGATATACGCTCCTGCTGCAACGCAGTGTCGCGCAGCGCCTCCCCAAGAGAGAAAACACCTTCAGCACACGCACGGCGAACTTCTACCGTGGGATCACTCACAATCGACACAAAATGGTCGACAAAAATGTCAGAATACTCCAAGCCAAATGCTCTGCAGAAAGCAGGCAATGTCCGCGCTGTTTCCAGCCGCACTTGCCAAGACGAGTCTGACGTGTATGTGTTCACCATCGGCACCATTACACAATACAGAAGACGCAGTGTCTGTTCAGCTTGTTCCTGCGACTTACTCTTATCCTCGTGCATCAAACGGCGCAAGGTGACGGCTAGCGTGATGCAGCTTTTCACGGCGAAAATACGAACAATGTCGTGACTGTCTGCCGTCGACTTTTCCAGCAGTTGGACCGTCCAACTAGCCACGGAAGAACCACCCGCAGCTGCCAGATCGCCAATCACAGATGTTACAGCGCGACGAACCAATGGGTTATCGTCATTGCACATCCGATCAAGCATTCCGCGAAGCTGAACACGTACGTCTCCGCGTACACGTGGATAGACCATAGAGAGAAGAGCCACAGGCACGATGCGCGCTGTTGGGCTTGAACTAATGCTGAGTCGGGCAAACATCGGTACCAGCACCTTATCGACATCGGCATCCGTCAGTGACACGATCAGCATCTTCAATGCGTTCACCATGACGTCCCATGTAGCGTGATTCTCAATAATTGATAAGCTCTCGAGTACATGCAACACCACCGCAAGCAATAACTCGTAGCGGTGACGTTTGCAAACTCCACCATCATCAGTCGACTTCACTTCCACTGCATCCACCAGTTGCTGCATTCGTGCTGTGCGTACCGCAAGCCAGCCAAGAAACTGGATGGTCCGGATGACGGTGCTTTCTCCCTTATCCTCATAGTCATGGATAGATGCAAATAGGTTCAGCAAAAACCGGCGTTCGGCACGCATCTCACCAGAACGCTCCTCCGGCATGGTTTCAATATCGTCCACAAGTGCAATGTCCCACGCCTCATCTGCTGGTAGTATCGATCGGTCAAGAGGATTCGTGTAATGTGGATCCATTGTCGGAGGGTGGTACGCCTCCGTACTGAGGTACTGAAACAGAGCTTTGGTTACGAGCTTGGGAAAAGTCAATACGCCCTGATGGATTTTCATCTGAAATACCCGGAACGACATTCGGTCCTGCTCAGGAATCGGACGCTCCGTCTTCTGTTGACGAATGTTCATTGACAACTGTCTTCGAAGAGCTTTGTAGTCATCTGGTGGAACTATAACGAGTTGCAATTGCAGTGGACGCGTAGTGGTCTCAATCAAACGAAGTGTCTCTTTATGAGTCAAATGAGTGACTCGTTGGCCATTTAGACCAACAAGCCAGCTAGAACGTCTGACATTTGCGCGCTCCGCAGCACCGCCAGATCTTATATCCACAACAATTGTACGCTCCAGGATGTTTTCGACAGTGAGTCCAAGTGAACCAGCTGGAATAGACGCAGTATAAGACTCGACGGCCCCCATGACGGACACAGCCGGATTTTCCGGGTCCCAGTCGCAGCCAACGATTCCACGAAAATCGCTGACGACGCGGTCTTCGGTCAAATAAGTGTTCACTGCACGGTCCAAGCTGAATTCAGAGTTCAACAGCAGGTCTACCAAAGCCTTATATTCCACCGCTGAAGGGCCTGCAATGGCGTCTTGTATAGTCTCCACGGCCCGGCATAGCAACTGCAGGCCATATTTGGGTTCCACAACGCCATTTACGGCCACGTCGTTACTCGCCTGTGTCATCACTACATCCCCATCACTGTCTCGCAGAGGTGATTCAGCACTAGTGGATACCGGCTCAGAATATGCTATACCATTGTCTTTTGGAACAGCCTGCTGCGATAAATGAGAATCTGAAGCACGGCGGAAACGAAGCGTAGAAGGAGCAAGCACGCGCTTGAAAGAAATAAACATCAAAACCAGTCAGATTTCAAGAGCAGTAGCACACAAAACCAACACCGAAAGCGGACATACCTCGTTGGACAAGTGCTGGACAACAGCTGCGCAATTCTCTTCATTCAGCACTGTGTCGCGGAATGCCAGTAGCACGTCAGATTTCTGAATACCAGCAACTGCAGCGGGTCCGCCAGGTTGCACGTGCTGCACCACTGCGCGACCAAACACGCTGCCGATCTGCCAGCACAAGTTGCTACTAGACGTGACCACTTCGTATGTCCCAGGTCCATAAATCGACTCTTCTTCTGGAACTGCGACAGATGGTTTTGCATCTTCCATGGCCGGTCGATCCTTCGAAGCTGGTGGAGACAACGGCGTCAACTGTCGCGACTCGATCGATGTCAACACTGACGGCGTCTGCGGCAGTACTGCTGACGACTGACACGGCATCTGACAAGGCTTCGGCACACCTGTCGTCGGCATGACAATTCTTAAAGCAGCTGAAGGTGCCAGCAGTGGGGTCTCTGCCGCACGACTTGTCGACAGCAACGTCGTCTTGGCGGTAGCACCTTCTGTATCAACAGTAGAAGTAGTAACAGCAGCATTGCTACCACCTCCGTTAACGTCGACTTCATCGTCGCTTCCTTCGTCAAACTCCGTCTCAGCTTCGTTCTCAGTGAAATAAATCTCCACAGCCTGCTGTAGATTATTCTTTGTGCGTCGAAGCAGCGACAGAATCACGTCTCGCTTCACTTCTCCACCCAAAAGGCCACTGAGCTCCTCGGCTTTCGACGACCACTTTGTACCGAACGCACGTGCGTCACTTTCACCAGCACCAGCAGCGACACTTGCCACAGCTTCTCGACCCTTCGTCTCGGTCTTCAACGTGGTCCCGCCGTTCTCTTCTTCGTCAGACCCTTCCACGTCATTGACCCGAAACGTCGCGCTGTCACTCGCCTCTGACTGGAAAAAGAGGTCGACGGCCTTGTTCGGGTCATTGCCCGCCTGTTTCAATAGCTCCAGGATACGCGAGCGCGAGACGTCACTCGGCCCAATGATAGCGCGGATCGCGTCCACCAGCGCGTCCTGCTTGGCCTCCATGCTGTGTCGTCAATAATGGCGGCGGTGGGCCGGTGTCCAGAGGTCGTGGACAAGCCCAAGCACAGCAGCAAAAGACACACGGAAAGCCGTTTCCACGTCCGATCGCGAGAGCACGTGCGTACGCTCTTTGCGCGCACAGAGGGCGGGGAGAGAGGAGGAAGAAAGAAAACGAGGAGGAGAGGGCAGGCAGAGGCCGGCCACGGTGCTGTCCAAACGTATGGAGATCTAGTGGCACTGCCGGCGCTTTCGAGAGCGGTGAGTGGCTAAAAAGAACGCGACGAAGACGAAGAGACAAGAGCGCACTCCGTTACAAAAAACGAGCGGGCGGTTTTGCGTCTGCTACTGTGCGAGTCAGCGCAGCGGCGATGGCTCGGGTCCTTTTTGTGGCGTTTTGTCAATGTGAGGTCCTACGAGGCCGAAAGTGTCAAAGCATGATACAATTTGAGGCCTTGCGGTTCCGTTTTTGCACGCATGGGATAGTCCACATATAACGAACCGGTCCTGTAGGGTTGGTCAAAACGTAAAACTTCAAGATGGTGGTGCAACATGGCACCTTTACATAGTCATGCTGACCGAGAGATGCGATGCAACGAGAAGTACCGGTCCAGATGACCGCAAAGGAAGATCTTGGACTTTGTTGCTGCTTCCGTATCGCAAACAGCATTTTTGAGCGAGTTAGCTGTCGTTTGTTTCGGCCAGCTGCCTTCGCATCCCTACGTTTCGGCCATTCGCTCGCTCATCGAGTTGGACTTACTGCGAAGGTGAAGCGAGTCAACATCCTTCATGACCACGCACTGGCGCGAGGATTCGGAAATTTGTCTGTCAGGAATTGCGTCCATTACATTGTGGTCGGCACTCAGTGTATCCATCCGTTGTTGCCTGTGTGGCGAGTCATCGCCTATTTCGAATGGGAGCGGCTACTCAGTCACTACCATCTCGTCTCTTGAAGTCGCTTCCCATAGCGAATCATAAGATCATGACGTGTATTCATCTACAATCAATACACTACGGAGGTGTCCATGATCACCGAAATAGTCCGAAACACGCGAGGCTCATTTTCTTACGAATGATCGAGCATACCGCCTCACCGAATTTGTCGATATACACCTACTGTTCACACGCGCAAATCAATAAAACTCAAGAGCAATGTGTAAGGTGTCGTCGACCTTAACTTTTGCCTGTACTTCCTGTATTGGTCGTGCTTGCCTTTGTTGGTAGCCAGTGTTTGCATCACAATGAAACAAATGAGAACTAGCTGCTGTTCCGGCGCGAGGGGGACTTGTACCAAAATCAGGACAGCGGTATTCGCCGCTAAAGTCGATCACGTATTCATTTGTACCGGTACTCAAAACCGGTTTGTAGCTCGTGATTGGTCTCCAGCATAATCGCCCGTTTTTTTTACCACAGCAAATGTGTTTGCTCTCTCTATTTCAGATTATCCGGATTTTTGGTGACGATCATGGTACGTGTGAAGCAGATGCCTGGAGGCTGCCAATGACCGCCTTTGCTCACCTCTAATGACATGTTTTGATGCAAAGGATGAGGCTCTTCGCTGCAAGGTTCAAAGCGCCAAGATTCTGGTCGTGGGCGCTGGAGGTATTGGCTGCGAGCTGCTGAAGAATCTGGTGCTTAGCGGCTTTGCCGACATCCATCTCATTGATCTGGACACGATCGACGTCTCGAATTTGAACCGTCAGTTCCTCTTCCGATCGCATCATGTGGGCCAACCCAAGGCGCTCGTGGCCAAGGAGATAGCCATGAGATTCAATCCGAAGGCCAAAGTCGTGGCGCATCACGGTAACATCAAGAGCAGCCAGTTCAGTCTCGAGTATTTCCAGCAATTTTCGCTGGTGTTCAACGCACTGGACAATGTGGACGCCCGGAAGCACGTGAACCGTCTATGTCTGGCCACGGACAGACCGCTAATTGAGAGCGGCACGACGGGCTACTTGGGCCAGGTCTCGGTCATTAAAAAAGGCGAGACTGAGTGCTACGAGTGCACGCCCAAGGTCTCGCAGAAACAGTACCCAATATGCACAATCCGTAGTACGCCGGAGAAGATGGTGCACTGCATTGTGTGGGCTAAGGAGTGTTACAAATTGCTCTTTGGCAAGATGGAGGATTCGATGTTGTGGGAGGATCCGACAAATGAAGACAAGTCGGCCTTCATGGACCTTGTCACGCGTTCATTGGATATGGACGTAGACGATGCGACAATACTGCAAGAGTACGCGTGCAACGTCTTCCGCGGTCTCTTTGACTTTGAGATCAAGAAGAGGCTTGAGATGAAGACATACGAGACTGCTGCTAAACGTCCATGCCCACTGGTGTTAGAAGACATTGTTGGCACGAATATTGTACAGGCGATTAGCTTGAACGAGACAGTAGCTACAAAGCAGTCGAATGACGGAAAGGCCTGGAGCGACCGGGACGTGTGGAGCGTCTCGGAGTGCGTGACTCGCTTTGTTTCGTGCATTACTCGTATCCTGGGCAGCGAGCAGGCTCGTGCTAACCTGGGCAGTTATGAGTTCGATAAAGACGACATCAATGCGATGGAGTTCGTTACCGCGGCTGCCAACTTGCGTGCATCCGTATTTTCGATTGAAATGGAGTCGCTCTACAATTGCAAGGGTATTGCCGGTAATATCATTCCGGCCATTGCTACTACGAACGCCATCGTGGCTGGTTTTCAGGTGCTGGAAGCTTACAGTATACTGCAGGCAGCAAAGCCAGTGGGAGAAGCGTGCAAATACACGCACTGCAACCGCTCGTGGAACGCCAGCGGCGTGTTGATTCAGCCCTGCGCGCTCGAAAAGCCCAACTTACAATGCTATGTGTGCTCAAAGCGTACAGTTGAGCTGGCCGTGGACACGACCCACATGCTGTTGTGCGACTTGGTCGACCAGGTACTGAAGAAGAAGCTGGGCATGAACGAGCCCACTATTTCGATTGGTGCCAACACGATTTACGAAGAGGGCGAGGACGCCGAAACAAGCTTGGCTGTCAACTTGGGGAAGAAGCTCGTGGATCTGCCTGGCAAAGGTATCCATCACGAAACCACAGTGTCCGTCGAGGATTTCTCACAAGATTTCCGCTGCAATATCCGCGTGCTGCATCGCGACCAAGGCGAGTTTGGCGAAGACGCAACGGAGTTGTTTGCGCTAGGCGGTGACATTGCCAAGTTGGCTGCAGATTTGAAAGCAGAGGAGGCCAAGCAAGAAGCGCTCAAGTCGGTTGCTGGTTCTTCTCAAGATAAAGCGGATGCTAAAGACGACGACGAGTTCATGGAAATGGCGGACCCAGCCAATGTCATTGTGTTGAAGCGTGAGAGAGTATCCAATGACTTGGTACAAGATGGTCCGACTTCAAGCAAGAAGGCCAAGTCGAGTGTCACGGATGAGCTGTAGATTCGTACTTAAGCGATAAAAAGCTGGAAAGTGACTCGTTGGTTCTATTGACTTGATTGTTGTATGGTCCATTGTGAACTCCATCCGCAGTCAAAAAACGTTGGTGCTTTTTGCGATCGAAAGGGACCGCAGCAGCTGAAAGAAGTTGCGTCCTTGAGGAGTCCCGACTGAGCGCTGAGCATCGTGCAAGCACTGCAGGTAAAGACACGCAACAGGAGAACGTTTGAAGCGTTTATTGGAACTCGTGTGTGGGCTAGAGCAGCGCACGGAGCCAGGAAGACGTCACGAATCTTGCATTGGAGCAGGTGATGGACGGAAATGAACATACCTTGGCGTCTGCCGCTACTTTACGGCCCCAGTATCTGAATGATGATCAGGTGAAGCATAAAGATCTTCACTCGGATACTAGAGACGTTGCGGTGGACATGGCGGGTGGTATGAGTCCTAGTAGAAAGTGTCGACGGATAGAGCGCGGTGAAAACGAGAGTGATGAGGGAAGAAACGGAAGCGCTACAATTATTCAAACTCAATTGCAGGCAAAAGAAGAGGAAGATACGGTTTGTGGAGCAAGTATGAAGCAGAACGGACGTGTGGAAGACGAGAAAAAGGTGGAGACAGCGACGTCAAAAGAAGTTGAATGTGTGTCAGAATCCATAAATCTAGAGGATGAAAACGGTCCGACGTTACGCATATTGCTAAATCAGGAGGTAGACTACAATGGAGGACGTCGTGTTGATGTATCTGAGAAGACGCGGGCGATAAATACGACAGACGATGTGTCGTCGAGCGAGAAGGCTGATTCTCCAGTATTGCCACTTTGTTCCCAAGCTGTTCCAGATTTTGGAAGGGAAACACTATTTGCGGAAGGCACCATGCTGACTGGGTCGTGCCCATCTCAGGGTGATAACAGTGTTAAGTCTATGCAAGTGGAGCCACCACCTCAAGGATCGAATCATACGGTGGAGACCCCTCCATACACACCTATAGCTGCACCTGCATCTACTCCACTGACATTGAACGTACCGGATGCTACATCCGATAACGCCCCTGTGACACTGGCATCGTATACAGCAGACACGTTACCAACATCAACTGCTATAAATTGCATAGTGGGACGGAGAAAGCGCAACAGAAGGAAGTTTAGTTGTTTCACCTCACAGCGTAAAGCAGCAGTCAAAAGTAGGCGGGACAACGTGCCTGCATTATCCGAATTTGAGGAAAAGTCGAGTGTTTCAGCAAGTGGACACGCAGCTAAAGATGATATTGAGGTTGAAACAGATAGCAACACATCAGCGTCTCCGGTGTATCCTGACACAGATGCATCTCACCTGTATTCGTCTACTCAAGAAGGTGCAGCATGGCAATGGAAAGATGCTGATCCATATTTCAACCATCCTACACAGGGGGACCTGGATAACTTGCTGCGATGGGGCCAGGAAAACGCTGCTTTTGTGGCTGCGAATCCACAGGCATGGCGCGGTGTACCAGCATTCGAACAAAAGCGTGGAATACTCGAAACCATGGCTGCAAATGTTTCGTTTGTGTCTACGGCGCATGTGGAGTTCCCCATCCATCGGGGACGTCGTTACCTCGACGTATGGAAGGAAGCAGACTTCCTGAGGCAACGGGAGCGCGATAATTCTGCAAAGGAGATTAATCTGACTAGTAACGCGAAGTCCAGAGGCAAACGGAAGCGCGCTAGCTTTGCAGAAGACTCATTGCTCCAATCGCACCGTGATTTGGTGTATGGATACGACGACGATCTATTCCGAGAGTTTAGCGATCGTCTAGCATGTCGTGTGAAAGCGTGTCAGTTTGACTTGCACCCAGCCACACCGATGTCGCCTCTCGGGACACGCCGACAAAATGCCAATATGAAAGTAGGCGGAAATGCTACATCGGTGATACTAGATGAATCTGGATTTAATGAAGAAGTCCTGCCTAGTTTTCCTATCCGTCAGTTACATCCAGCATCCCTAGGCCTTTGGAAGCTGCGAACAAACGTGGCACCTGATTATACAGTCATACATCCTGCGTCTGTAAATCGTTCACAAGTTCCAGCACGCTGGAAAGAGGAGAAGGAGCGTCATCAACAAAAGCAATACGAGCTGCGATTTCAGCAAATGGATGCAACAGCTGACCTGGGTGATGAAAATGATAAGGACGGTGGTGTTGTGACTCAGGATCGACACAGCGCCACTATACTAAATTGTGCAGTTACTGGTGAGCTACCCTCCTTTGGCAACTGTGTAGAAGATGATGAAATTTCGCAGGCAATTACTGCTTCGATGAAAAGTCTTGTATCGCTATCTATTTCGAACTGGAGCACTATCGAGCTCGTGCACGAAAGAGCAGCCATCAGTATCCAGTGCACACGAATATTAGATGACGAGACTGCCGTTGCTCAAGAGCTGGAGAATTTGTTTCTACAGTTGTGCCCTCCGAGTGACGTCGCCGTGGGTATTGATGTACTTTACGGTAGCCGCCGGCCTTGGGCATCGCGGATAGCGGGTACGCCAAATGATGTGATTGCCTATTGTGCACGCAATGATGCCGCGGATAATCGCTCTTTTGCGGTAGCCGCATCGGTGGAATTTGCTCTTAAGCTGGATGTAGGAGATGAGGTTGACGTGCTCGATCGAAATGGGTGTTGGAAGTACGGCGAAGTCGTGGAAACCTACTCTGACTGCACATTCGGGGTTGCGACCTTATTATTGATACGACTTTCTTTGTGTCCTGAAGACACTGTGGAGTGGATCGCATCAAGTGACGGTCGCATTCTACCGCGAGGTGTTGCTGATGGCTCGCGATCCTGTTCGGTTGGTCCCACTCGTGCCCATCGAGTCCGGGTTCGCTTCGATCAGAGTCTTGCCAAGGAACTCAAGCGTTCGCTGCCGCAACGACAAGCCAAGCAGGCGTCTATTGCTTCCCAAATGCTAGCACGAAGACAGCATGATACTATTGTAGGAACTTCGAATGATTTACTAAAGACGCCACAAAAGCGTAAACGAAAGCGCCCAGCTAAATTTCGAATGTGGTAACAGCAACGGAGTCATAAAGGCGATGTGGTACAAAAATGGGTTACGTAGGCGGTGGTCTGGCCAGAAGAACACCTTGTCAGCCGGGTCATGCACGATTGAGAAAGACGTTTGAATTTTATTCAGCGAAATATCCTTGCAAGTGTGGGCGCCAATAGAGGTCCCAATCTACGTTGGCACGTCCGCACCCGCAGACCGCCGACACCACGCATACATGGGCATCGGCAAATAATTTATACGTCCTGTGCTGGTGTCTTGGGTGCACCAAGCAGCAGCCGAAACACAGATGAGCAAAAAAGGTAGCTGTTTAGTACGGCATGAGCAATGGTACTACTGGTACATTCATGGATTGCCTCGCCTCAACACTTCAGCTAGCCAGCTCATTGCTACCGGAGTATGCAGTATCGGGTACAACAGAAAGGTTCATGAAGACACACCACTTGGACGTCGGTTTGAGCTATAGATCTGCTTTGCAAATATGTCTGACTCGTTCCTTGTAACGAGAACTCAGCGATCTGTCGCTATGACGAGAAAGCAGCATGGTAAAAACGGTGCTAGGGACGACTCAGGGCGCACTATGGAGATGTCTGCCCTAGCATAACGTTCAAGTAACGAAAGTCGGGACCATATGTAGGCGAAAGCTGTGTCGGAGATTCTGTTGTGGGCTGCAGGCTTCAAAAAAATGTGGCAATATTGAGCTGAAGTACGAAAGGAATGCAGGCAGCGCTGTCAGTGAAGTGCCGACATGCTAGGAATGTGGACTGGAAGTGGTGAGGGCCTGTTTCGATAGTGTTCACGTCGTAAGATACTCGAATACTGCAATGGTGGGATGCCGGATGGACGAACGTAACAGTACAATCAGTAATATGCTTGGATTCCAATGGTATAATCACCTTAAGCGTAAAGGTTGATGGCGATCAGCCCGAGAATTCCGCCACAAGTTCTGGGGACGAGTCGTTCAGCTTGAAACGGCGGACCCACTTCCCTGTGGCTGGGTCCTGCACGTATTCGGCAGAACGGTAGCTGTACGGGAAGTGCTGTCGTAAGGAAGAAGCGTCGCTATACATCTCGTGGATCTCTTCTCCCACCACCACGTCCGCCAGAGCAGCTAGCTCACTGTGTCCCGCAATAACACGAACATTGTTAGAGTACAGCTTAGCACGAGCATTACGATGACATGACGTACGTGAAATAGTCCTTTTGGCGAGATCCCAACTGGTGTAACTTCCTTGCATCTCCTTCCAGTGTTTCCAGGCAGGCATAGAACTCTTCGTACATGTCATCTTTTGACGGAAGAGCCTTTGAGCCTTCAAACACACGCGCAATCCAGCGAGCTTGAAGCCGAAAACAGAGGAATGGCAGGTTTTTGACTGGGAGCCCAACAAAGGCGGCAGTGGGGTCCTCAATGGCAAACACCTGCTTATAAACGGGTGCCACGGCTGTTCCATTTGCCGTGCAAGCAAGCAGGTCAGCCGTCATCTCATTGTTCACATCATCCGACTTGACGAATGCCTCAGGGAACAGTAGCTCTGATGGAAACAGCTCATTTGCTGTGTACAAGTATCCAGTGCAGTGCATGATCTCATCAGGCGAGGCAATCGAAGACCCATCTGTGAACACCACCGAGCCATCTTTGGCGATGCGCTCAATAAGGGGTTTCAGCACACGCCGCTCACGGTTGTCTATGGCACTTGGATCGTAGTCCGAAGCCGCTACGATAACTTCCGCAGCACCGTTCTCAACCAGCTCGAGGGAAATGTCTTGGCCCGATGGTCCTCGTCCAATCACCACCACACGCTGCACCGAGTTGCACACACCGCACAGAGAACTTTGTCAGATATGGTACACATATCCATGGCCAGATAAGGTCCTACCTTGCCCTTGTATAGCTCGGGCGTACGGTATGATCGCGAATGGGACACAACACCCTTGAAATGTTCCATCCCCTTGATTGTCGCCATCCTGGGCGTGGAGAAGTGGCCGTTGCAAACCACTACGCGATCAAACGTTTCTTCGTAGTCTCGTTCCATCTCTGACGTCAAGCCAACTGTCCACTGTCCGGCCGCTTTTGACAGACTCGTTACTGTCGAGTGGAAACGTATCACATCGTCCACTTTGTAGTGCTTGGAGTAGTCTCGAAGATACGTGAGTACGTCTTCATGGGACGGGAAGCTAGGCAGCCCTTTTCGGAACGGGAACTCCTGGAGCTGCATGATCGCTGTCGGTAGGTTCGTACGCAGCGACTTGTATATCACAGGCGACACTTTCTCGCTGTACTTCCACAATCCCCCCACATGACCGGATTTCTCAAACACAATCACTTCGTGCCCCACTTCGCGTAGACACTTGGCCGTGACTGCAACAACAAGTTGTTGGGTTTATCATTAGTATCACATCAAACGTACGTCAGCGGGTGAGGACAGAGAGAGAGAGAGAAGACGACCAATGAACGTACTGATGCCCGCAGCGCCACCACCTATGACTCCGACTCGCAACTTGACGGACATTCGGATTAATGTCAACTGATAGACAGTAGCCAGCTCAAAATCCGTCTGCTGATCCGCAGAGGGAGACGTGACAGACAGCTAGCTAGCCAGCCCGAGTGTCGCCCCTCCTTAATTCGGTTGTTCCGACTATACAAACGAATCAGCTGTGGCCGGCGAAACCCCCGACCGAGGATGACAGACGACCTGGTGCTTCCGGATCACTCGCCGTTCCCGCCGCTGCAACTCACGTTCGAAGAGCAGCAACATTGCCACGACTTGACTCTCCAGCTGCTTGAGCGCACACTGCATAGCTACGACGAGCGTCTCGCTGGCATCACCCCGCGACACCATGCAAGTCTCGATAGTGCACGCTGGAAACTACAGAAGACCCAGGAAAATGCGTCACTGTACTCGGAACGCATTCGACGCGTACGGACAGACCTCTATTTACCAGAAGACAAGTGGGAGGACCCCACCGTGCTCATGATGGTCGGTACGATCCAGGCACCACTGGACGAAGTCATGCTTGGCATGGCGATCCCGACCTTTGAAGCTCTGAAAATCCGGGTAGCGACGCTCGGGAACCAAGATATTAGCGGCGCCATGCTCGCGAGACTCATCGGTGCTACGGACGCGCGACCGTTCCAGAATTTATCGATCTTGTACATGGCCAGTCGCTTGCCGTGGCTTGTTAGCAAAGTCGTGAAACCTCGAGACTTTGTGCTGCTGTCGGCGTCAGGGATCATCACAACAGCAGACGGCGAGCGAATTGGCTATGACCTCTTGCAACCCGCCCCATTGCCACAGTGCCAGCCACTGCCGAAACCCATGATACGTGGCAAGTACATGATCGGGTGTTTGTATCGAGAACAGGAAGATGGCCATGTCGATCTGTATATCCAGCAGTACCTCGAGCCACTAGGGAAAGTGTTCGACTCGTTCGTGATCTCTGGCACGTGGCAAGCGCTTTTGGGGTTTCTCAGCTCGCCGATGCTGGCCGAAAGCAAGAAGTTGCAGTGGTGCATGGCGGACTGGGCAAGTGTTCGTCGGAGAGGATTGGGAACTGAACTCTTGGGTCACTCAGTGAGTTGTGCTCTGTGCTCCATGGCTTTTGGCCGGGGCACTCATAGCCACAGCAGTGATCAGCAACGATGTGTACTCTGCTTGGCCCCAGTGTGCTCGAACTGTCGTGAAAGTCGAGTCTACAAGGTACTGAAGCAACAGCTGAAAAAGAAGAGCACGACCGAAAAACGTCAAGTATGCATCTGTCGACCGTGTCTCGAGTTCGTACAAAGGCAGAAAGCAGCAGATGTTGCGAGGTATAGCGTCACGGATTCAACTACCCCAGCTTCGCACTCTGCTGGACATGACAGCGATACCGGAAGGAGGACGTGGGGACTTGTTGATAGCGATTCTGTGCCGACATGGTCGCCAAGTCAATCCCTGTCGGTGTCAAGCGAGTCGTTCGAGTCGTTCAGTTGGTAGTTGAAGTATAACTTGATAGAGCTGTTTGTAACACAGTGTGTTTGACACCACTGCTCGACATATCGTGGACGGGCTGTAGAAGGGCTGCATGGCCACGCTTTTCTCGTTCACCTGGCCTAGGTACGAACAAAACAGCTTGCATCTGGACTAACGATTTTTCGCTGTTTGTATGAGTGAATAAATGTACGTAGTCCATTTTGCATGGGAACGATTGCACTGCCTATTTAAACAACTTGACAAGGCCCATGGCTTTGCCGGATGATATCACCAAGTCCTCCATTTAGTCATCGGATACAAACAGGAGTCGATCAACCGGATCGTGGATTGATGAAATGTAAGGAGGAGAACTGTTCGCGGAAGATGTGGAGCAGCATATGGCTGTGCTGCCTGAGGTTACTACATTTACGACCGAGGAAACGATAGAAGATGTCCAGGTTGGCGATCGTGGAATACCCTTGACAGAGGATCAAAAGGATTTGTGTAACGGGGTCACACTAGCCATTGGCTTAATTGGTCAAAGACCTCCCATAAATGATATGGATGAATGACTGTGACCTTAGATTTTATATCAGCAAGACAATATCGACTGATCGATATCCCCAGGTTTACGGTACTTACCGTGTACGTACTTTGTACCGTCATCATTTGATGACTGAGTGATGTGCCAACCATCCATCCAGTTCGAACATTAGTATTCGTACTAGTTCTAGTTTAGCATAATATAGCGTACTTAAAGCAGGACTTTCCTTGATATAAAATCTAAATAAAGTTCAGTTCTCATTTTAAGCAGAAGTCCCTAGACTCCCCCTGTAACGGGGCACCCTGAAGCTTGTACTGGTGACAGTACAAGCTACTTATTCTGATGACAGAATAAGGCGGTGTCTCGTAACTTCACGTACACTCGTACGTGCAGAGGAAGACGGTAAGAAGTAGCGAGTACTTAGTTTAAGTAAAAAGTAGAACTGTATTTATAATAGTTAATGTCTGCAATAAATCACTGTTTATCCTCATCTAACTATGTCTGAATACAAATGTGCATATCAACTATCTGCTCACCACTCATTGCGTGCGTCTGTCGTGGTGCGTCTTCGTTGGTTGATATAATGGCCTATATCAACCAATTAGGAACTACTCGTAAGTGCTGCAGAATATTCGTCCTTATGACAATATTCTGAGAATATAATTCTTATAGTTATATTCTATCCACAATTTCTTATAAATTGTTATGTAACGATTCACCCCGTTACATCACCCCCCCCCTTAACCATCAGTCACTTTAGTGACTGATTGACTAAATGGATACTCGTCCCAAATCATTTGGGACAGGGTTTGCACTTGTTGGTCCGAGTCCACTTTCCAACAATTCATCGCATGGTTAACAAGCCCATGCGATGCGCGAGCAAGGCAGCCGAGAGCGCGTCCGCACGTCTCTGTGCGGACGCCGAAGCAGAACCACAGCAACTGGTGTCTCATCGGTTGCTGAAGCGACTCAGCCTGTGTCACTTGGTGATGCAGGCGCTGGTCATGAAGACACTCATGTCTTCACAGAGTATGAGCTCGGTGTCTCATACTCTCCTGATACGGAAGACGGATCCGTATCGACGGCGATCGAATCCAAGCCGCCTGCCAAGCGTTGCATGGATGATGCTATGCGTCGCAGCATCTTTGGTTCATCTGATTCATCAGATGAACCATCGCCGAAGCGAAGGCGCTCGAGGTCGCGAGACTCGGGCGCTAACAGTGGTGTCGGTTCTCCTATGGAAACCACTTCGCAACGAGGTGCCAGTCCTTCTGTCGGCACATCGCAGGAAGAGCTGGAATGCAATGTCTTGCGTCTCGCTCCTGAGAAGAAGGCATGGATGCCTCCGAAATCCGTCATGGATCACTTGTCGGCGACGACGAGTGATCGTTATCGAACACGGTTGTTCGATTCGTCAAGGATCCATCACCTTGACCCCAGCGCGAAAGACTATCGCGCTGAGAATGAATTCTTCATCGATGCTTTTTTTAAGCACCGATGGTACAGTAGGAATCACAAGCGTGATGGTCCCTCACTACTTCAAGCGTGGAACGCTTGCATCCATAATCTTGAGGATGTAGGTCGTGACGCTTGGAACGACAAACTTATCAAAGCTCGTGATAAGTTTGAAAAGCGAACCCCGACAGGTGTACGCTACAAGCTGCATCGTCTGTCAAGGGAGAAGGGATTACCCTGCCTCTTTTGGGGAGACTCGTGCACACGTTGTGTGAACAACTCTGCACGAGCACCTAAGGAGGCTTACCTCCTTACTAGCCCTTGGTGGCGCGTACGTATCTTTACTGAGATGTACGAAGGGATTGACAACCTGAAATCCCTTTACGACCGTGCCGGGAAGACTTTCTCCGGCGGTCCTTCTGCGGCACAGGATGTGCCGCGTCGTACTGCTCAACCAGACCCAGTACGTCGATCATCAGTTGGGAGCGGGGCTCCCAAGAATCCCAGGACGGGGGATAGCCGCGCCACCGGACGAGATAACTCGTCCGACGTCCGTTCACGTCGCGGTGGTTCAACAGCTGCTCAACTAGATAGTGCTGGCCACCGCGAGAGTCCTCTATTGGAGGTGGAGGAGGAGGAAAGACGCTCTCCACACGATCGTGGGGATCCGTGTGTTCCCGAGAGCTTCTTTGATCGCGTAACGCAAGGGTTACGCGGCGATCTCGAACATGAGCGGGACAGGCGTCTCCAAATGGCGGACAATGTCTCGAAGCATCGAGCTGAGTTTGCCATTGCTCAGCTTGAGAACGAGAGAGCTCTGACATCTCTTCGTGACGAGCTAAGGGTAGCTCGTGGGATTGTTGATCGGTCTCGGGATGAGATAACTGCTCTTCAGACCCTTGTCGATGCCCACCATCGGGAGCACAAGGCTCTCTGCGAGATGCTTCGCATCTTACGTGGCAACTCGATCGTGTATGCATTGCCTAGGCGGTGCAATACACGAAATGGGCCGATGTACTTGGGTAGTAGTTTACTCCTACCCACGTTAGTAACTACATGCTTTGGTAGATTAACCGTAGACAGTAGGACTAAGTCACCTTTACTAAATAAAAGAGTGTTTGCCCTTCCATTCTTGTCAGCGTTTTGCTTTTGCTTATCCACCGCTTCGGCGATGGAGTCTTGCACAAAACGGACTACCGTTTCACGAGCCAGTATGAACTCATCTGATGACTCGTTAGCTTCAGTGCGCTGTGAGCGCACTGCAGCAACATCAACCTTTTCTTCAGTGAGGGCTTCCGCACTCTCACTGGCATCATCTTCTTCGATATCGATGTTATCGATATCGGCATCAAACGCAATGACCTCTTCGTCAGAGCGTGATGAGCGTGAATTAATTCGGTTTTTGCTCGCGCGAGTCCCTCCCCCCCTTAAACCAGAGTTACACTCTAGTAAGGTGTGTACACGCGGATGGCGCAAGTCATTCACGTAAAACGGTGTATGTGTCGTGGACGCATGCACCGAGTTGTTAATGGAAAACTCTACCATTGGCAAAAACTCACTCCAACTCTTAAAGGAGTGTACGTATCCTCGAAGTATCTTTTCGAAGACACGATTGGCACGTTCCGTCTGACCATCTGACTCTGGATGATCAGATGTAGACATCTTCAAGCGCGTTCCGAGTGATTTGAGCACGAAACGACAGAAATCAGCAGTGAATCGTGGATCTCTGTCTGATACGAGTTCACGGGTCAACCCATGAAGTCGGAAGATGGTGTCGATAAAGACACAAGCACAGCCACTTGCCGTGATTGTCTCTGGTACAGCCACAAGGTGTACCATTTTGCTGAATCTGTCAACAAATACGAGAATACCCGTATTCTCGCGTGCGTCTTTGGGTAACCCGAAGACGAAATCTAATGAGATGGATTCCTAGCACTCAGCCGGAACCGGTAGAGGCTGTAAACGTGCACGCAGTGAAGGACTTGACTTCACTCGTTGACAGACTTCGCATGCGCGAACATACTTTCGCACAAATTGATACTGGCGGGGCCAGTAAAAGTCTCGACTCACCGTGAGATATGTTTTCTCCCGGCCACGATGTCCTCCAATAGGAGCATCGTGATACTCGAACAGGATCCGCAAACGCAGATCAGTATCATCTGGAATGAAAACACGTGGTGTGTCACCAGAAACGGCTGTGTAATACAGTAAACCGTTGCGAGTAGTGTATCGATCTGATGTAGATCGATACGCAGACGACAATCGTTTTAACGATTCTCGAGATGGCTGTGAGAGATGTGTTAACAACTTCACAATCTCACCATCTTGGGCGTATGCCCGCCTCACATCATCATATAACGTTGAAGATGGGACTGAGGACGTCATAACCGCAACAGTGGCTGTCTCACTGTTGGGTTTCACGACTGGTTCAAAGTCGGGCCGACGTGATAGTGCATCAGCAACGACATTGAGTCGTCCTGGTTTGTACTCGACCGTAAAGTTGTATTCTGCAAAGAATGACAACCACCGCGCCATTCGTTGTGAAAGTTGCGGGCTGTTCACTGCCGTGTGTAACGACGCATGGTCAGTGTCAACAATGAAGGGTCTATCTCCTGATAGATAGACTCTGAACTTCGCGAGTGCATACTTCATGGCAAGGAGTTCCTTGTCATGCACTGGATAGTTCCGCTCAGCTGGTTGCAGCTGACGCGACTGATAGCAGACGACGCGTTCAACGCGTTCAAGATCGTAATGCATTAATGCACAGCCGATTGCGAAATTGCTGGCATCACAGACCACATGAAATGGTCTGTCCTGATCGGCAATTGCTAGGACTGGGGATTGTATCAAGCTCTGCTTGATACCATCAAATGAGCGCTGACATTCAGCGTTCCATAACCACCTCTCGTTCTTTTCCAACAAACGAGAGAGGTGTACAGTCATCTCGGCGTAATTGCGTGAATACTTGTGCAAATAAGCCGCTAGCCCAAGGAATTTTCGAAGGCCTTTGACATCAACCGGCACAGGCCAGTCGGTGATCGCCTTGATCTTTTCGGGATCAGGACGTACACCGTTCTTACCAACGATGCACCCAAGAAGTGGTATTTCGCTTGCTGCAAATATACACTTCTTGAGGTTTGCACACAATTGATGCTTTCGCATGATTGTAAGAACCTGTCGGACGTGGTACCTGTGAACCTCCACCTCCGACTTTCCATCCATAGCTCCGAATATGTATGAATACGTCATCGAAATAACTCGGCGCTAATTCTCGTACTGGTCTCAACAGATGTGATACACATCTGTTGAACGTGGCAGGGGCATTACTAAGCCCTTGTGGCATTACTAGCCATTCCCAGAGCATGCCGCTAGGCGTGCTCACTGCGGTATAGGGTGTATTCCGTTCTCGCGTAAGGATTTGATAGAAGCCATCCATCAAATCTATGGACGAAAAGATTGTACTCTTTGACATACCATCAATGATTACGTCCTTCCTCGGTATCGGCGTCCGAGCCGGTACCGTTGCAGCATTTAACTTGTTAAATGCATGCACCATCCGCCACCCTCCTGTTGCTTTTCGCACACAGAAGGTCGGAGAGCTATGTGGGAAAGTTGATTCCCTCACATGGCCCGCAGCTAAACGATCGGCAAAGAACTTTTCGATCGCAAGTACTTGTTCACGAGGCAGTGGTCACTGCTTCATGACACAGTACTTCGAGCCTGGTTTAAGCTCGACCTCGTGTCGAATACCTTTATCCTTCGGTAATTCGCACGGAACAGTTTCAGGGAATACATCCTTGAATTCAACCAAATCTTCATAGAGAGGATTTGTCTTGAGCGATTCCCACGATTGGGAGTCATATCGCTCAATTCGTGTCTTTTCATCTAGGACACTCTCGTCCATAGATGAACTACTGAGAACTCTCTCGTTCTCAGTAAACACTGTTGATGACCTTATGTCGGCTACACACTCGTCGTCAGCGACGAGTACGCAGATCTGCTTGACTTTGCCACTACGCAGATCACGCAAGAACCTTTTATGTTCGAGCGTTGGCAACTGAGTGATCTCCGAAGTCAACCTCGGAGGCGCAATCAGATCAAGTGTGTAAGCGCCTACACTTGATCCGCTATTGAATATGACATTCAATGTCTCTGTCATTTCCTGGGGACTTATTCCCTCAGGCCTCGAAGGACTCATTCCTTCGGCTTCCCGGGGACTTATTCCCGCGGGTTTCGGGGAACTTATTTCCGCCGTATTTGTAACATCGGGACTTATTCCCTTAACTTCCTCTAGCTGTGGTTGCGCAACCACAGCGAGATCTTCTACGAAAGACTCTCCAGTCGATCTAGGATTATCGTTTCGCTTAACCTGAGCGATCGATTGTTTCTCTTCTAGATGTTCCCCGCTAGGGATACATCTTTGTCCTGGTCCACTCGACTTATTCGAGTGGTGGACCTTCGGCGCAGCCTGTATTTCCTCACAGTTGCCGGAACTTTGCTCCGAAGTGTAACCGCTTGTCACACTAAGGTTTTGTGCAGTCGTACTAACGACCGTACCACAAGTGAGGCCATCGCACTCACTCGTAGTACATCCACACGCTTAAGGACGCTCCAAAACGTTCATCATATGGCCATCTGATGAACAAGCGGCAGGCATCGTTACTGTTCGATGTTGCCAGTTTACCCGTGGTTCGTATCTTCTGAGCCACGTTATTACAAGGATGACATCAAATTTGTCATCCAAATCCAATACGATGAAGTCATCGTCATATTGGTTATCTTCTAGCGTATAGTGGATCTTCACTATACGCTTCATGACGGTTACGGATGCGCCTATCGCAAGACGTACCGTCCTCCTCGTAGGAGGTGTGTCACATTCACTGAACTTAAAGTGACCATCTTCTAGCGATTGGCGTCGCACAAAATTGTTGGACGCCCCACAATCGACTAGAGCTCGAAGGGACAACTCATTTGTCACTTCGAGTTTCAAGGTAATGAGTGAGATCTCATTACCTAGAGCAGCAATGCACAACGTTTGTGTGTTGGGAGCAACCTTCATCAAGAGGCCTACAAATTCTCTTGACGTTGCTGGACCAGTAGGGTGCTCCGCACCTACTGATCCTGTCCGTTTTTTGACGGTCCATCCCGTTGTTGCGTCTTTGCACCAACAGCGGACCCTCGTCCCTGCCCCTTTCTCATGGGTGGACGGTCACTACGCCCAGTGTTGCGAGACACTGGACGAGGGGCACTACACTCGTAAGCGTAGTGTCCTGTCTTTTGACATCTGTTGCATCTCTGCAACTTCTTGTAGTCTGTAGAGCGAGCCTTCTCGCTCTCTACATAACAGAGTTCCATCGGCTCTGGACCTCCGCTGTCATATCGTCTCGGTTGACGATATGATGTCGAGCTGGCGCGAGCCTGTCTCAGACTGAAGTCTTCCTGTTCCGCAATGGAAATGGCTTGTTCTAGTGAATATAGTTCAAGTCGGAACAGGTGAGTCTTGACGGGACCATCCGCAAGACCCTGCATGAACACCGAAACCAACGTGTGTTCATCAACCGGGTTGGAACTTATACAACTCGTGAGATGTCGTATATGTTGCGCGTAAGCGTGCACATCACGCTTACCCTACTTGAGCTTCAAGAGTTCGGTCCGAGCTCTGAACTCAGCTCTAGGCGGTTCAAACGTTTGTCTGAGCCGCGACTTGAAGACTTCCAACGACCCAAATGCATATGGGTCGTGCAACTTGAGCCCCAGTGCCCAAGTCTTGGCACGTCCTGCCAGATTTGACTGGGAAAATGCAACTTGCATTTCCCCATCGTCGATGCGGCGCGCCCTTATGGCGTCATCCAATTCGACGAACCATCTCAAGAGGGAGTCCTCTTCGACCCCCCTATACTTGGAGATGTCAATCTTCAAGGTCTCGGGTCGACGCGAGTGCATCGACCCACCAGCAGCAGCCTGCTGCTGTCTCAACAGTTCAAATTGTTGAGCACCCTGTTCTCTCAACAACTCTGCTTGTTGAGAACCTTGTTGGTGAAGCAAGGCTACTTTCTCGCGTTCAGCGT